TCTTCTAATAACGTTATAGATATTAATTCCTACGGAAGGACAAAGGAAGAAGTGTGACTGGAGTGGATACAGATAGTCCTCGAGTTATGACCATACTTCAGCCTGGCAATGACAGTCATGCATTGTGACTGTCATAAAGTGGATCACCACATGACCAGACCTGATTTTACAACCTTTTTTTGCAGTGATAATTAAGTGAATACGGCAGCCATTAGTTGAATCCATTGTTCGCTATAGGGCAGGGGTGTCAAACTCAATTTCATTGAGGGCCGCATAAGGGTTGTGTTTGACCTTGGGGAAGTGGTGTGTATGTGTGTGTGAGAGCAGGGTGGGCATTGGCATCAACATCACTCATGTCGCGGGCACCTGTGGTGGCCCAAGCGCTCTGCCAATGAAAACAGGTTTCTGAGGTCTATTTTTGGCTGTGGCAGCCTCCTGCAACACTCTGCCAGTGAAAATGGACCTTAGGAGGGCCTCCTGCGGCCCTCCTGAGTTCCATTTTTGCTGGCAGAGGCACCATGGGCCAGTCCTTCACTGTTTCCAGGGCAACGCTAGAGAGCACTGCACACCAGAACAACTAGACACAAGAACAGTTTTTTCCCGAATGTCATCACTCCGCTAAACAAATAATTCCCTCAACACTGTCAAACTATTCACTAAGTCTGCACTACTGTTAATCTTCTCATCGTTCCCACCACCCATCTCCTTCCACTTTATGATTGTAATTTTGTTGCTTGTATCCTTACGATTTATATTGATATTGTTTCCTGATTGCTTATTTGTACCCTATGACTATCATATAAGTGTTGTACCTTATGATTCTTGATGAACCTATCTTTTCTTTTATGTACACTGAGAGCGTATTACCAAGACAAATTCCTTGTGTGTCCAATCACACTTGGCCAATAAACTATTCTATTCTATTCTATTCTATTCTATTCTATTGTATTCTATTCTATTCTATTCTATTCTATTCTATTCTATTCTATTCTATTCTATTCTATTCTATTCTATGTGTGTGTATTTATATATTTGTGTGTGTGTGTATATATATATGTATGTATATGTATATATGTGTGTATACCCACCCACCCACATACACACACATATATACTTACATAGACACATGGCTGAAAAGCTTCCTGGGAAAAAATAGGTGAGTCATATTCCCCTGTATACAATTATTTATATAGGTAAAGCCTGTTTAGAGATTATGTAATCCATACGCTACAATTTGATGTCTGTTTCCTCATGCAGTACATCAAGCTGGTACTGTAATGCTTCAGTGTTATTTGCAGAGGAAAAGGGAGAAATAAGCAAGTGTACCCATTATTGGGATTGTCAGAGTATGAAATACGTTGCACAACTCCAGATGAGCCTGCTGGGACTCTGTACTTCATGCCCCAAAGGCAGGAGAAAACCTCTGGGGGAAATTGTTGCTGTTTAACAAATGTCCTGTTTTGATTAATATTCCTTTCCAAGACCCCCATTGCTGTTGTTACAAATGACTTAATGCCCTTCAACTGGACAAACAAATCAAAGTAAACCTTTATTTATTTTTTTATTATTTCAATTTATATGGCTGTCCATCTCAAATTCATGATTCCGGGTGGCCCCATAAAACGACCCCAGCAGAATAGTTAATAAAAACATCATTTATGGAGAATGGATTCTGATGTTAATAGAAATTTATGCTGTAGGAAAAAAAAAACAATTGGTTACTTTGCCCTGCTGGTATGCATTTTAATCATATTGTACTTGCTTTTTTGTGCACAAAGAGTTGGTGTTTGGTTTTTTTTTCACTTCTCTTTTTCTCTTTCTCTTTCTGCTGCCCTTCTGCTGCGGTCTGAATTTTCCAGGAGGTGGAGGTCAGTATAGATTTTTTTTTTATCAGTCCTGTACCATCTTCCTTCCTTTTATCTTCTCTTAGTCTGGCCTAACCTCTCTTTTAAACTTTTTAAATAACTTTTAAAATATTTAAATTTGTCTTATGAATTTGGAGTGTTTTAAATTTCGTTTCCGGGCCAATTATTTAATTGTATTTTAATGGTTTTTTAACATTTATATTATATGTATTTTATTTGGCTGTTCACTGCCCTGACTCCTTGGGAGTAGGGCGGTATACAAATTCAATTAATAATAATAATAATAATAATAATAATAATAAAAATAATAAAAATAATAAAAATAATAAAAATAAAAATAAAAAATAACAATGCTTTGGATTGGGTTGCTTTTAAAGGTCATTCTCAGTGGTGGAACATGGTCCATAAAAAACTGGCTAGACCCAGGAGTGGGATTCAGCCGGTTTAAACCGGTTCGGGAGAACCGGTAGTTTTGACGATCAGCTGAGAGCAAACTGGTTCGCTCCAACAATCAGTTGGGCCAGCTCACCCGCCCCTGCACTATACCGACCTATATTTCCTTTGTTTGAAGCCCAGCTGATAGGCGCGGCAGAGTGGATTGCTGCGCCTCAGCGAACCGGTTTGTTACACCAGTTGAATCCCATCACTGGCCAGACCCTCCTGCCTGCTGCGGATTGTGTATAAATTCTGATAAAACGCAAATTGCTGAAAGTCTATGTGCTGTCTCCAAATCATCTCCACAGCCAATTCACAGATCTGAGTCGGACCTCTTGCTACTTTCTTTCTATCCAGTCCTTTTTGAGAAGCAGCAATTTTGACACTTCCAAAAAAAAAAAGCCGTTTGGATGGGAACAAAAAGCTTCTCTCTCCAAGCCAGCCTCTAATTTTAAAGATTGGCAGGAGAAATGGAGAGCGATGTGCAGCACCTTGTCATCTTCCCTTAAAGAGGCTGCTGCCTGGAGTCAAAATATCTCCTTTTATACTCAAGTCCACCCACCTCCTTCTCCCCCCTCATCCCTTCAAAGAAAATGGTGCTTGGCAGAAATGCCACCTTTGAGCTATCGCAAAGAAAGCTTATTTTAGACATCATACTTCCCTTTGTTTTCCATCATAACGTTTAAGACGGCATGAAAACCAGCGCAGACATCACCCCATCTCGCTTACAAAAGCAAACAGCTATGAATATTATGACACGTTATGTAGGGCATCGTTTAAGATAAATGCAACTTTTTCCTTTCAGTCAACCGCTTGTCTCTGTGATCATTTTCTCGTTCTCATTGCAAGTTCCTCATTGAAGTAGATGGTTTACGTTAGCATTTTTGTTTTAATGCCCGGTTCTCTTAAAATACGTTGCAGGTTGACAATACTGTCAGTATGTTAAGTGTAAATCAAAAGATCTTGTAGACTGGGGAGGTTGTTCTACAAGGTTGTGCAGATCCCTTGCAAATACCTTCGGCAAGCATGTCTTGCAAAAAAATATTTACATGTTTTTATGGCTGTCCTTTGCTTATTGACAATTTTCTCCTTTTACCAGTAGACTAGTAAAACTGTTCACCACCATGGCAAGGTTATCAGTTTCCATCATATAGAAATTTAATTAGGAAACGTGGCTTTTTTAACTACACAAGATCACATGTGGAAATTGAGGAGAGGAAAAAAAAACACACACAGTGATGTTCCAAAAAGTATCACGTCAATCAATTCTAAGCTTCAGCAAAAAAAAAAAGATTGGCGATGAAACAGAGTGGCAATCCTGTACCCCGAGGGCTGCACCATTAAACCATTTTTATTTTATTCTTCTGGCTGAGTGAGCATGTTTATCTTTAATTGCACAAGACTTTCAAACCAGAAAATGTTGAATTGATTTTCAATGGGCTGTTATTTTGTTTTGTGGCTTGCCACTTTGGGAAAGTCTCATTAAAAATTATAAGAGGGATGAGGATACGGCCTGATGTTCTGGAACTCCTGGCTTAAACATTCTTAATTGAACATGGGCAGATTCCCTGGGTTAGATTTTGTCCATTTCCTTTTCTTTGTGCGGCTTCTTTTTAATCTCCTTTACATTCTTCTTGTGCAACAAAATTAGATCCAACAGAAACCTTAGGCAGATCATGGTTTCTGTTTCTGGAATTAGGTCTATCAAGAAAGTACAGATAGTCCTTGACTTATGACCACAATTGAGCTCAAAATTTCTATTGCTAAGCGAGACAGTTATTAAGTGAATTTTGCCCCATTTTGTGACCTTTCTTGCCATGGGCGTTAAGGGAATCACAACAGTTGTCAAGTTAGTAACACGATTGTAAAGTGAAATCTGGTTTCTCCTTTGACTTTGCTTGTCATAAGGTCGCAAAAGGGGATCACGTGAACCTGGGACACTGCAACCGTCATAAATATGAGTCAGTTGCCAAGTGTCTGGATTTTGATCATGTGACCATGGGGATGCTGCAACAGTCAAAAGTGTGAAAACGGTCATGAGTCACTTTTTTTTCAGGAATGTTGTAACTTCAAAGGGTCCCTAAACATACTGTTGTAAGTCAAGGACTACCTGTATCAGATATTGCACCCTCTGAATTAATGTTCCTTCTAATGCAGTTTATCCCAATTCAGTACTCTTTGGATGTGTTAAAACTAGAGATTTCCCTCTACTTCCAGTCCTATAAAGCTGTGCCCAAGATTTCAAATTTCAAATCTTTATTGTCAGTGCGCAACCTATGTACAATGAGATTGGTTGAGCTCCCTCAGTGCACACACACCCCCAACACAATACAACTCACAGTGAAGACAGAAAATCCCTAACCCAATAAATCATATTAACAAAACACCCAGTCCTATTGCATCAGTGTGAACATGTTACACGTTGCACCGGCCCTGCAAGTCCATCATACTATGTAGTTATGATGTTATTTCGCATTCAGGAGTCTGACAGCTCATGGATAAAAACTGTTCTTCAGCCTGTTTGTGCAGCATGCTTCTCTCTCCTTCCCGATGGTAAGAGGGTGACCAGGGTGAGAGTTGTCCCTGAGAATTGACCAACACTTTTGATTTACTGGCCTTCTGAATAACCAGATGTTTTTATTGCCGACATTTTGTATGGTCTAACAGTTAACTTGTTCTTTTTTTCCTTCTCCCTAACAGGATGACTACATCAAGAGCTGGGAAGATAATCAGCCAGTAGATGAGGGTAATTTTCTCCTCCTTTTTATAGTGCTTTTTTTTTTTAGTGTTGTTGCCTCCAAGAAAAAAATGGCTGAAGTTGCTTGGAAAGAAATTACTGCAAATTACTGAGACCGAAGAGAAATTGAACTGCTTGTTATCCATTCTGTAAACATTTGAAAATAACTGCATGCCAGGATGATCCTACAGACAAATGTAAAGAAAAATGTTCTGCTTTCTTCTGTTTTATCAGCCAGGAGTGCATTTTACAAATTGCAACATTCCTTGTAGATGAAGGCTATTATTTTCCTTTTTATCTTTAACGTTTGGTCTTTCTTTTTTTTTTGGAAAAGAGCCAATTTAAATATTGGGACATATCGAGTCCCAGGAGTCACGAATGGATTCCAATTTTTCTTCTCGATAGATAAAAATCCATCTCTCTTGAATGGCTTCCTTTGTGGTTTTATATTTTCTAGTAATAGACCTGTTCCGTTTCTTTTTTCCAATTGTGTTGGGAAAAAGTCTTGTTGTATAACATATATTACAAACGGAACACAGAGGCTTGTAGTTCTCCCTGTGTTAATTTAATTATAATGCCCTCTAACAATATGCTGTTGAATATTTGTATTTAGGATTTGCTATAAACAATAATAATAAAAAAATCCTTTGGGCATTAACATTACATTTTGAACTCCAGAGTTCCAACTGTTACAACTTCCATTCATATACAATCTACCTGCTATTGTGTATCCTCAAAATGATTGAATTGGGACTGGGACACAGATTATTTTTCCTGTTTCTTTCCCTGCTCTGGAATTCAATAGACTTGGCTGTCCATAGCTGTTCATACATGGTTATTTTGTGAGTGAATTTAGATTGTGTTCCAGGTTTTAATTAACTGCAGTTCAATCCTATACAGGTCTATTCAAAAGTAAGCCCTGTCATTTTTAATAGGGATTATACTCCCTGTTAGATTATTGTACAATCGAAGTGCTAGTCCTTTGTTTGTTAAGTGTGGTGGGGCTGCAGTAAACCATTGATTTAGTTTTTTTGGTGGGGCAGGTGTTTAGTAAGGCGGAATGTCTGCTAAATGGCAAAAACAAAGATTTTCGAGACCAAAAACAAATTTGTTCATGACAGAGTTTACTTTACCAATAAATCAATATTGAAGGGAAGAGAGAACATTCTTCAGACAGTTTAATCAAATAAATAACTCTGTTGTTTGGAAAGAATTCATTATTGCCTGAAATTTGGACAAAACTCAGTTCCGGTGAAAATGAGTCATATTAACCTAACTAGTTAATTCCCAGGAGGTTAAATTTTGCCCCCAACAAACACAACCAAGCATAAGGTTAAACTAATTAAACCAGTCCATCATATCGGGCAATCTCCAAAGTCCCAGTCTTTGTCCTTCAAAAGGAAGGAAGAGAAAGAAAAACTGAAAAAGCAAGTTTCTCCATTATAGAAGTATCTCAAGGCCCACCAAAACAGAAAAGACCTCTTAAGCACTGATTGATTAGGGTGGCTCAACCAACCTGTTGCTATCTACCAGGCCAACAGGAAAGGTTTACCAATGCAATGTAATTTTGCTAGCTCTATTCTGGTTCTGGAGGTCATAAGATGCTAGGACTAGGTGCTTTGCTTATTGAAAACATATGCATGTACTTTGAATTCTGAAAATATTGTCAGTGTATAAAAAATTATGAGCTGGAAGAGCCATAACAACAAGTCAGCCAATGGGAACTGTTTGGTGACTAAGAAACAGGGTCTGTTGTGAGCAATGGGAGATGGCTCAGAGCCTGGGCGTGGCTTAGTTTCACTGGTCTGTATATATATAAGGCTTCTATGATTGCGTCTGTGCTTCTGGATTCTGAATTCTGAGTTCTGGTTCTGGCTTCTGCTACATGGGTATTGTATACATGCATCATGCTTTATATTACTGTATATAAAGAAGTTTCTTCTATAAATTAATCCTGCTGAATTATTTACTTGTGTGCTGGCTAGATTGCTGCAGACTCTGACAAATATTTACTGTGATCATGGACAATGCCTGCTGATGGAGGTTTGACAAGGCTAGCGGCTGTGGGAACGGGATTATGGTTTATGTGAGTGATGGAAGCCAACCATTTTTATATCTGTGCAGTTTATATTTTTATACAGGTTACAGTTTACGGTTCTTGGCTTCCTTTCCTTTTGCCATTTATTTGCTAGCATCTTGGAGTTGAGATTTCACAATCCGTTGATTCAAAAATACTGAGCAGGTGTACAGTGTAGGAAATGAGAAGTTTGTTCAGCAGAAGCAAAGCGCTGAATTTTGAGTAAACGCCCACATTATAAAAATAAATAAATAAATAAAATAAAAGAGGGTGATACATTTTATGGAAGAAATGAAATGTTGTTTTTTAGCCATTTTGTTGTGTCCAGCTCTTGGTGACTTTATAGGCAAGTGCTCTCCATACTGCGCTCTCTAGCACAGCTTCTGTTCTGTGCCCAACCACACGCACACACCCCAACCGAAGTTCAAGAGTTAAAGACCAAACCAGCCGGCAAAATCCTTTTCCTTATGATAACGGAACTTGGCAACAACCTAGTGGCTGCCTGCCAAGAGTTTATTATTTACGAAGAGGAGAGATAACTTCTCCCCACTTCTGGTACATCAAAAGAAACAGCTCAATAATTACAAACAAGTCCAGAGATAATCCAGCAAAGTCTATAGCAAAAGTCCGGCAATGCAGAATGGCGTGGAAGCTTTCAGCTTTGTTCCTCACAAGGTTTGACTGGCCACCACGCTCCCTTTTATATCCTGTGGGGTGTGGTCCAGTGGCTCAGCCTAATCTCGGGCACGCCTTTTCTTCTGTTGTGCGCGCTTATCTCTGCGATGCTGGCGTGGATCCAGCCAAGACTCATTACCCTCATCACTGTCCATCTGTGGCTACGTGGACGTGCTTGGCCCCGGCCCTATCTCTTGCCCTTCGGCGGACACCAAAGGGATTGCCAGAGAGGAGGGTCCTGGAGAGGGAGGCCTTGCCAACTCCTCTCCTTCACTCTCAGAGTCTTCTCCTGCCGATGACACAGGCTCAGGTAATGGAGCCACAACAATTGTTGTATGTTCAACTTTGCATCAGATTTGATGTTAACAAGCCAGCGTGTTCTTTGCTTGCCCTTTTCTCTTTTTCTTCTTCTTTTTTTCTTTTTTTACAAACATATCACATCAATGCGTGAACAGTGTGGCACCTGAGTGTCATACATTCTAATACAAATAAAACTAGTAAAATTAGTCATAGTTATTACATTCAATCAACTTACGTATTTCTAATAATAATACACAATGATAATAAGTTGCAATCTATCATTATTCAATTATTCCATGTTTTCTCTTGTTACTTTTATTTTATTATTTTATATTATATTTTATTATTTTATTTTATTTTATTTTATTTTATGTTAGTGTCTACACTAACATCCCCCCTTCTCTTATTTCTATCACTTATTCTAACTTTTAATCATGTCACCTTTTACTGAAAAGCATTTTCTTTCTATCCTATCTAGCTTCTAGTCGTGCCACCTACCTAAAAAAAAAAAGAAAGAAAGAGAGAAAGAGAGAGAGAAAAGGAAAAGCAAATCAGAACAATGACAAAGAAAAGAAAAGAAATCATCTATCCATTGTCTCTTGCCCGCTTCAATACTTTAGTTGCTATGCTTTTTTTAATTTGCCTCTCACATTCCTCTCTGGGAGCTTTATCTCTATCTGTAACTGCTTCTTGATTATTCAATCTAGGTATTTCTTCTATCTCTACCCTCTTCCACTGCCTAATTTCCAAAATTTTTGCCTGGGCCCCTATCTGCTTGCCCCTTCTTCTTGTTCCACTAACCGTACATAAGGAGACAATGCAATATGAATGGATTGTTTGATGATTTCCTTAAAGGTACAAGTGGTCTGTAGGATAACGTTCTTGGGAGCCCCAATGCCATTGGATACCCGCTTGGCCATTTTTCCTTTTTCCTGTTTAGCTTTTGATTTAAAAATACATTCTTTCATTTTTTAAAAAATGAATACTTAGCATAATATAAAGTAACTGCATCGTACAATATTGGCTTTCTGTATATGTACAAGAGCTTTGCTGTTCATATACATTTCGGTCAAATAAGCTTCAGTTTTACTGTTTTGCTGCTTAGAAGGGAGGAAGGACGCAGCTGTATTTATTCATTTGTTTGTATTTTCTCTCTCATTTATTTCTAAATTACCTTTGATAACTTGGCATGTTTATAGCACAACAAACAATTCCTTAGACAGTCCAGCTTCAATTTGCTTAGAGCTTTATATCTTAAATTGAATACAACTTTGAGCTGAACTTGGAAAACCACTGACAGACATTTATTTTAAATATAGGTAGTCCTTGACTTACAACAATTCATTTACTGACCGAAGTTAGAAAGGCACTGAAAAAAGTGACTTTATGACTGTTTTTCACATTTAGGACCATTATAGCATCCCCATGGTCACATGATCAAAAGTGAGATGCCTGGCAACTGACTCATACTTATGACGCTTGCAGTGTCCCAGAGTCATATGATCCCCTTTTGTGACCTTTTGACAAGCCAAATCAATGGGGAAACCAGAGTCACTTAACAATCGTGTTACTAACTTAACAACTGCAGTGAGTCACTTAACCAATGTGGCAAGAAAGGTCGTAAAATGAGGCAAACCTCACTTAACAACTGTCTCACTTAGCAAAAGAAATTTTGGGCTCAATTGTGGTCGTAAGTCAAGGACTACCTGTACTGGGAATTGTTGTGGTCCGCCAGCAGCCTGCAGAGCTGGCAGCGGAGTCAGACAGCGATGTGGCTGAGGAAGAACATGGGCCAGTCCTGGAGGCTGGGGAAGGCCCAGATGAGGGCTCTGCATCGGAGGCAGAGATGGGGCCAGGGCCATCGGGGAATGATGTGCGGACTTCGGAGCCTCCAGAGGCTGACAGTAGAGAGGCAGAGGAACAGGAGGAGCCTGTTCCTAATGCACGTATGAGAAGAGCTGCCAGAAGGCAGGAGCAGCTAAAGCAGAGAGGATGACTTGGGAGTAGGGCCAAGAGATGATTGGACCCTCCCATAAGGCTTAAAAGACCAGCAATGGCTCTTGGCCTCTTTGCCGGAAAACAACTGTTGAGAGAATTGCTTCTTGTTTGGCTGTAGTTATTTCTTCTGTTCCTGAACTGTTGCCAAGAAAAGCCTTTGGCAGTTTGCCTAATTATCCCAAGGTCAGAGATAAATTAAAGACTGGTGTTTTGAGGACTTTGCTTTCATTTAATTTAGAATACGCTGAGAATGAGTTAATTCTCAGCTGTTTTAATAAAATCTGTTTGTTTTTTGCATTTAATATCAACTACGTGGGCCTGGGTCACAACAGGAATGATATAGTCACAGCCTGGGTATCCCTTAGCAGCTAAGATGCTAACTGTTATACCGGTTAAACCTTCTGACTGCTCTTCAGGATTAGTCTCTCTTAAAACCCATTGCAGTAGTCAAGACAAATTATAGCCATGTCTGGATAACCGTTGGCAGGTGCAGCTTTCATAAAGTTTATCAGCACCATTGAAAATTAATATCCAGCTGGTACCATTTTGGTCCTGTAAATTGAAAGACTGTACAAACATTTCAGTCATTTTCAATATGTATTTTTTTCTTTTATTTAATATAAAGGAAAAAAAATCTTTCTGAAAAGGTTGATTTTTAAGACATCTGAAGAAAAGGAGAAAGATGGCTCCTTAGCTTCCAGATCTTGTAGATGATAGCTTCATCTTCTGTTAGTTCCTGCATTATATGGTAGAGCCAGAAGAATAATTTATTACTTCTAAACAGTTTTGAAGTTCCCAATAAAGTGGAATACCATAATCTGCCCATCAAGTCCAACATTGTATAATTGCAGTAGCCTTTGTTGACTGGCTAACTAAATTCCTAGATAGCTATGACCGTGGTGCTGGGGATGATGGGAACTGTATTCCATCCAGGTACCTATTATTAGGTAAGGGAAGCTACTGTAGAAAGACCTTACTGAGCTAGACAGACCAAGTTTTATCTTACTACAAAGCAGCTTTATATATTCAAGCAGTGAGAATATTTAGGCTCATCAATTACCGGCATTGGCAGACTTGGTACGTGAGATGTCAACATTTTTTAAAAAGCAACTTCCAGGGCTAAATTGAAGAGGAAGCATTGAATCACTAATCCTTTCATCAGCTTGTGAGATTCAGTTCAATCTAAAGCATGTCTTTCCTTTCCTGGAATATTAGGGTGTGTTTTTTTTCCCCTGAGCTTCAGAAAATTGTGCAAGAGCATCTGCCTGACAGCCTTTCTCTGCCTGTAATATTTGCTGGCTACAAACTCACAGATTCATTTTATTTTGCCAATGAAATTGGGAAGTTTAAAAGCTAGATCCGAGTGTTGTTTGTGATCCAAATCTAACAATTATTGCAGGCAATTAGTGATATGTAACTGGAGGCCCTGCAAATTTGGGTTATTGGTTAACCTCAAGAGATTTGTGCTGTCAGTACAATATGATATTATGGATAAGCGCTGTCATTCCGTGGCAGAGATCTTTTCAGTCAGTGGCTACATGCCTTGGGAGACTTCTGATAAACCGATCGGTCTTGCTGGATCAGAGCAAATGGGGGATTTTTTTATATTTCTAGATCGAGTCATGATGATTACTTACAGTGCTTAAATTTTGAGCCTAAATGTCTCTGATCCAGATTCAGATGCTCGTGACCATGCTCTTATCCACAGTTACTGTTTCCTGTGTTGTTTTTTTAATCCAAACTATAAAATGGGTTATGATTGAAGATGGGAAACAATATAAGTTGTTTTCATTCATTCTGGTTGTCAGACCTGCCACCACTTACACCTCTAAATAGAAATTGGCTCCATTTGCTGAGAAAAGCAGTTTTATTAGAAGTCAAGTATATTGCAGCAATGCATAGCCAGAACTGTGAATTGCGCACCAAAATCTCTAAATTCAGCCTCACATCGCTGATTCCTCCCCCCACCCCCACGACCAGTCAGTTTCAAGCAAGATTTTGGAATGGTCAGTTCAAGCATAGATTGGTAAGCAGTTGCCTTCTCCCAGCTGGGTGACCTTGAGGCAGTGTCTCTGGGAGATGCAGCAGTTACTTTCATTTTCCCCCCAAGCATTCCTCCTCCCATCCACTTTCCCCAGACTTCATGGCAGACTGTCACCGCATGGTAGCGAAGCACAAGCAAGCGTAAGGTGGCAGCTGACACTGGTGGAACTTGGCCATTTACTGTCTGGGGAATTCTGGGAGTTGGAGTCCACGCATCTTAAGGTTCCCAAGTTTGAGAAACAGTGGTTTGCAGATATATGCTCTTTGCAAAACCAAGAAACCTTTGTACTTGTGAGCAAGCATCTCCATGTAAGGATGTGGATCCACTTATTTACCTATTAACCAAATATTCAGAGTTGCACTTAGCAAATACAAGTCCTTGAGATCTCCTACACTGAACAAATGCAATTTCTTCCACAGCATTTTAGCTTATATTGAAATAGGATCAGGATATAAATTCAACACATGAATAAATAATGTGGGTACATCATTTGAATATTATAAATAGCAGCCAGGGTATTAGAAAAGGGAAACAAAATTGACAATCAAACTGCTTTTAAAACAAATCGTGAGGTGACTTCCAGTTCCTGAGATTGTTGTATGAAACAGTACTGCACTATGTAACTAGGATTGCCTATAGCATGTTAGATGACAGTCTAGGTCAGTCGTGACAAACCTATAGCACGCCTGCCAGAAGTAGCACTCAGAGCTCTCTCTGCGGGCACGCGCACCATTGCCCCAGTCCAGTTCCATCACGTTTCTCCCACAGCGGGGAGAGAGAGGGGGAAGTAGGGAGGGAGAGAGGGGGGGATGGAGGGAAAGAGAGAGGAAGAGAGGGGAAGAGAGAGGGAGGGAGGGAGGGGAAGAGAGAGAAAGAAAGGGAGGGAGGGAAAGAGAGAGAGAAAAAGCAGGAGGGGAAGAGAGAGGGATGGAGGGAAAGAGAGAGGGAGAGAGGGGAAGAGAGAGGGGGAAAGAGAGAGGGAGGGAAAGAGAAATTATATTACAAAAGTTTTTTCCTTTTTATTGCTTTTTATTGTTGCTAAACGTAGTATTTCAAAAGCAGAAAAAAACAAAGGGGCATAAAAGTGCATTTATCATGTTTTTCTTAGGACAATTAGCTGAACTCTGCCTTGTTTATCATTATTTTAGGTAGCAAAACCTCATTATTCAGGTTTAAGTGTGCCGTGTTGGCACTTTGCAATAAATAAGTGGATTTTGGGTTGCAGTTTGGGCACTCGGTCTCTAAAAGGTTAGGGTTAGGGTTAGCGCTCCCCGTGCTTTTGGCACGCGATGGCACGGTGGGCCTGGTAGGCCCGTTTTTTGTCCTCCCCAAGCTCCAGAGGTTTTCTTGGAGCCTGGGGAGGGCGAAAACGGCCTTCCCCACTCCCTCCCCCCGGAGGCCCTCCGGAGGCCAGAAACAGTCCGTTTCCCGAATTCCGATGGGACCGGAAGGCCCGTTTTTTGCCCTCCCGAGGCTCCTAGAAACCTTCTGAGCTAGGGCAACACTCACGTGCCCACAGATATGGCCACCTGTGGCACAGGTTCGCCATCACGGTATAGGGTTTCCTGCCTGAGCAAGGGGTTGGACTATAAGGCCTCCAAGATCCCTTCTAACTCTTATTCTGTTAGGGTGAGTGATATTTTGGATCCCACACTTAGTGTAGGATGACACATGTTCTCTTTGCCGCTTGCTTTAGGTCTGGACACCACAAAAGATCCTTGCCAGAAGATCAAATGCAGCCGGCATAAGGTGTGCATTGCCCAGGGTTACCAGAGGGCCATGTGTATCAGTCGCAAAAAACTGGAGCACCGGTAAGAAATCCATTAAGTTATACATTAATTCCTGATTGAGTGATTTGGCTTTTCAGATATTTTTTTGATATAAAGATAGTCCTCGACTTACAACAGTTTATTTAGGGATCGTTCAGAGTTACAACAATACTGGAAAAGGTGATTATGACCGTTTTTCACACTTATGACCATTGCAGCATCCTCATGGTCACATGATCAAAATTGAGAAGCTTGGCAACTGACTCACATTTATGACATTTGCAATGTCCCGGGGTCACGTGATCCCCTTTTGTGATTTTCTGGCAAGCAATGTCAATGGGGAAGCCAAATTCACTTAGCAACCGTGTTGCTAATTTAACAACAGCAGTGATTCACTTAACAACTGTGACAAGCAACCTCATAAAATGGGGCAAAACTCACCTAACAATTGTCTGGCTCAGCAACGGAAATGTTGGACTCCGTTGTGGTTGTACGTCGAGGACTATCTGTAAGCAAATATTTTAAGGCCAGTTGGATTTATGACCACTCTAGAGAAGGTGGAGTTATTGACATTCAGGGCAGAAATAACCAAATCCTTCATATAATAGTCTAAACCAGTCATTTTCAACCTTGGAAGCTTGAAGATGGGTGGACTTCAACTCCCAGAATTCCCCAGCCAGCAGCGCTGGCTGGGGAATTCTGGGAGTTGAAGTCCTCCTATCTTTAAGTTACCAAGGTTGAGAAACACTGGTCTAGACCAGTGTTTCTCAACCTATGTGTTGTAGCACAAAAGTGTTGTCATGGTCTTGTTTCTTGTATGCCAGGAGATTTTTGTCTTGTGTTATTTTGTTGTTGTTGTAGTATGTATATTTTGATAATCCATATATTCAATACAGTGCAGATATTCCTTCCTCCTGAACTGGGTCTATTTAAAAATGCATACATACATACATACATACATACATACACACACACACACACACATACATACACATACATATATATATTTATACATACATATGTGTGTGTGTGTGTGTGTGTGTGTGTGTGTGTGTGTGTGTAGGTCTTTGGTTATTCGGGTCTTCTCCCACGTAAAATTGGAAGTGTCTTGGCAACGTTTCGACGAAGTCTCATTCGTCCTCTTCAGGCTGGTGTTCTCGGCTTCGTGCTTCCAGGAGCAATTATATATATATATATATATATATATATATATATATATATGTACATACATACAATTAATAATTTTTGGTGTACCAAAGAACTCCTGCTACATTACATATTTTGCCATGGATTCCAGAAGCTTGAAAACCATTGATCAAAGCAAGAAGAACAAACAGCTTTTGTCCGTAGGATTTGAGGATTAGATTGAATTTGTCCAGAGATATATTGTAGCTTTTAAAATATAAAATTATTTACACTTAACAACTTATTATATGTTAGATGGAAATTGAGAGAAGTGTTTAAAGAATTTTTTTTAAAGATTTTGTTATTTGTTCAAAATTAGAGAGCAGTTGTACCATTATTGGGTGGGGTGAGGTACCGTGTTTCCCCCAAAATAAGGCCCTGTCTTATATTTTTTTGAACCCTGAAATAAGCACTAGGCCTTATTGCCATGCACTCAAAAGCCCGATTGGGCTTATTATCAGGGGATGTCTTATTTTGGGGAAAAACAGGGTAGAAAAGTGATGGGTGAATGAATGATTGAATGGGTAAAAGAATGAATGGATTAATTAATTAATTAATTAATTAATTAATTAATTCTGGGTTTATAGATGATGTTGAACTTCTATTTCATTATCCTTTAGAGAGCTGTATGCAACATTAGCCAGATTAAGAGTTAGAATAGTATAACAAATGCCACATTTTATGTCTCTTAAACCTTTCCTTCCCACCTCAAATCAGAGAACTGATATTTTTGGTCCCATCCCTCCCGGATGACTTAGAAGAGGTGCTAGGAAGTTGTACTTTTGAAGCCTAACATCTGAGGAACCAAGATTGGGAGACCCTAATCTAAGAAGTTCAAAATTATTCCTTCAGTTTGATAAAAGTGTTAATGATATTTGCCATCTAGCGCTGTTGGTCTTCCGTGACTTGGAATCTGGGAGTGGGTACACTTTTACTGAAGAAGGAAATAAGATATTGCCACATCCTGTCCTGAATAAATAAAAGGAATGCCAACCTTTCATCTTGTATCTTTTTAAAGTTAAGAAAAAAAATGTCACAGAGAAAGAAAGGTGTGTGCTGCACACCTTTACCTATGGCTGAGACATGGAATGGGACAATTTGTCATGGCCAACTAACTGTGGCCAAGTTGCCATGGAACAAATCACCACAGGACAATTCAACAAATACAAACAAATACAATTCAACAAATACAAACAAATACAAAATACAATACATCAAATACAAAAGTTAAATTAAGTTAACTGTTGTGACCTAGGCCCAAGTAGTACAGGAGCCCAAGGAGCCTTGGTAGTACAGTGGTTTAATGCACCCTGTTATTAACACAGCTGCCTGCAATTTCTGCAGGTTCGAATCTTACCAAGCTCAGCCTTCCATCCTTTCGAAGGTAGGTTAAATGAGGACCCAGTTTGTGGGGGCAATAAGCTGACTTTGTATAAATATACAAAAGTATGAAGGCTATTGCTTAACGCATTGTAAGCCGCCCTGAATCTCCGGAGAAGGGCGGCATATAAATCAAATTAAAAAAAAAAAAGTAGTTATTACCAGACACAATCATTCCTAAACAAACATATTTTATTAGAACAGCCGAGAATTTATTCATTCTCAGCTTAGTCCAAATTAATTCCTAAACAGGTCCTTTTTCTTAAAAGTCTTTCGGCCTTATCACAAACTTTTGTCTTTTTGGCATCCTGCCAAAGGCTTTTCTTGGCAAAGGCCTAAGAAGTTCAGAAACAAGAGACGCTGACAAGAAACAAATGTAGCAAGGTGGTTTCCTACTAAGAGCCCAAGAGCCTTTGCTGCTCTTTTAAGCCTTATGGGAGAGGCCAATCATCTCCTGGCCTTACTCCTGAGTCGTCCTTTTTGCTTTAGCTGCTCTTGCCTTCTGACAGCTCTTTGCATGCGTGCACAGGCTCCTCCTGTTCCTCTGCCTCTCTGCTATCTGCCTCTGGAGGCTCCGGAGTCCGTGCATCACTCCCAGATGGCCCTGGTTCCATCTCTGCCGCCGATGCAGAGCCCTCGTCCGGGCCTTCCCCTGACTCCAGGACTGGCCCATTGTCCTCCCTAGCCTCCTCACTGTCTGACTCCGCTGCCAACTCCGCACGCTGCTGGTGGACCACAACATCAACGGAACTATGGCCAATAATAATAAAATTCAGAAAGTCAGTCCAGAAATACAAGAGTTACAATAACTTTGACAAAAACGTGGTCCCCAATAATAAAAGTAACTGAATGAAACAATTAACACAGCATTGAATTGTCCTGCAGTGAGTTGTCCCATGGCAACCCCTAGATCCCCGAGAAACCTTCTGCTTTCTTCACATGACCTGCTAGACTGATTCAACAAAGTTCACCTCCCTTTCCTTTCTCCTCAAAGACATCATGGTGTCTCTTCCACTGTGATTAAATCATGTCGTTGGAAGTTTAGAGATGAATCATTGCCTTTCACTACTGCTATGAAACCAGTGGTGATATTCAGCCAGTTCTATCCGGTTTGGGCGAACTGGTAGCGGCAGCTGCGGAAGGCTCCACCCACCCGCCCAGAAGTATCATGTCCCGTTTTTGATGGTCTGCAGATGTGCAGAAGGCTCTGAACATGCGCAGAGGTGGTGTATGTGCTCACATTTGCAAACCGGTAGCAAAGGTAAGTGAATACCATCTCTGTATGAAACACTTCCCTTGATATGTGTCTGTTCTCTTCAGGACCACGAGGCAACTTTAGTCGACCTTTGGAGATGTCAAGATAAACAGCCTTCATAATTCCCATTTGCATGCTGGTTGGGAATCTGTAAACCTGTGTTCACAACATCTCTGGAGAGCACCAAGTTGGGGAAAGACCCTGGTGACTTCTCTTCAAGGATGTTAACGTTGCAGTGAGATCCTTTGTGCCCCATCTGGAGCTTCCTCCTCCAGCCTGTGAATTAGGAGCATTTCCCCTTCCCAAAACCCCAAGAAGGAGAGAAGTTGATTTAAGCCATGCTTTTTTAATGTGCATTGCTCTTTCTCTTTTCTCTCTGCCTGGTGCACGGGCACAGAATCAAACAGCCTGCCGTGAAGCTCCATGGAAACAAGGAGAACCTGTGCAAACCTTGTCACATGACCCAGCTTGCCTCCGTCTGTGGCTCCGACGGCCATACTTACAGCTCTGTGGTAAGGAAGACAACAATATTTGACCCTGAAAATAAGAAGGGATGGGGAGTAGAGGGAGGGACAGCTTTGGGCTTGCAGAGGATCAGCCTACTTTATAACAGATTGGGTATTTTTCTTGGGATCAGTGAGAGGACGTGAACATTCGCATGTACAGTACAGGTAGTCCTTGAGTTACGGCCACAATTGAGCCCCAAAATTTACGTTGCTAACTGAAACATTTGTTCAGTGAGTTTTGCCCCGTTTTGTTGCCACAGTTCTTGGGTGAATCACTGCATTTGTTCAGCTAGTAACACCGTCATTAAGCGAATCTGGCTTCCCCAATGACTTTGCTTGACAGAAGGTCTCAAAAAGGGATCACACGATCCAGGACACTGCAGCTGTCATAAATATGAGTCAGTTGCCAGGCCTCCGGATTTTGATCATGTGACCGTGAAGATGCTGTAACGGTTGTGGGGAAATGGCCATAAGTCACTTTTTTCAGGGCCGTTGTAACTTTGAACGGTCACTAAATGAACTGTTGTAAGACGAGGACTACCTGTAGCTGGTACCTGTTGCAAAGGCCCATCAGTTAGAATTCCACAGAACTAATTCTGTAAAGTATTACAGTATGTGGGTAAAATCATTCCGTTTTTAACAGAGTCATATGTTATTCTTACCACACCTGCCCATTCTACCCTCACAACAACTGCTGTGAGATGCATTTGGCTGGAGAAGATACCCAAAGGGAGAAGAGGAAAAAACCCATTACCCTCAAGCTGCTTGGATTTCAACTCCCACTAGTCTTGACTAACATGGTAGAGGAATTTGGGAAATTGTTACTCAAAATACCTGGAGGCTCCAGATTGCCTGGCCAGGCAGGCACTAATTGCCTCGTGCATTGTCTCATTCCCTTTGCAACTACTCCGAAGTTACCCTGAGGTAATGTTTAGCTTGCTTCTTTCAGCAGGCTATTTACACATGCACTACTAAGATGCATGGATTTTGATAAGGGGAATCAAACCTCTCTCTCGCAACTCTTCATTCTTAGCCGCAGCAGTATATTAAGGAAAAGCTTAATCTGTTTAGTTTCTGCAGCCTCAGCTGTATTTTGAGGGCACAGAAATGACAGCACTGACATCCTGATAACAAATTACCACATCCTTTCAATTTAGAGTGGTTTAGAGTGGCCCGTTGAATTTAATCTGCCGTTTCCTGTGGCAGCGGCTGCAACGATCGCTCGTGTCCTGAAATCGGAACCAACGTTTTCTCATGAGCTAGCGTGCTCACAAAGTTGCTTTAAGAGTAAAAACGTGATTCCCGGGAGGAAAAGTGATATATAAATGTAATAAATCAACTTGATCTGTATCGCACAAGCTCTTGATCATGCGGGAAGCTTGGTTCTATCGCTTGTTAAGCGATGAGAAAGGAAACTCAAGAGAAATTGATATTTGAAGTTTTCTTCTGAGCTATGAAACTGGGGAGGACTTTTTGACATTCAAATATAGGAAGCACTTGTCACTTTATTGTCGCTAAATAAATGATTATTTTTATATTAGCAAAGACACCAAACTGATGTTACCCACATAACCACATAAGATAACACCTATTGTATTTTTGCTTATAATAACAACGATGGCTCTTTTGTCAAGAGATAAGCCGTATAAAGAATTTTATATATATGTAATAATATATAAAGTGTTAATGTCAGGGTTTCAAGCAACACTTCCAACGAAATCAAACTCCGAGGCTTGAATTTCCTCAAAGCTAATTGTTATTAGAGATGTCATATTGGCACATTTGGGAAAACCCGAATCTGAGAGCTTCCGGGTTTTCCTCACTCAAAAGAAAGTTCAAGTCCTTGCCCTTCACCCACATGTGCATCACACGAACCAATCAGGTACCCTCCAGAACAGAAGATACCTCCTCATTCTTCTCAGCATAGCTGCAGGGCACAATGGCCTTGACTCTCTGGAAAGAATGTTATTTTGACTACATATCATCTTCACTCCATACAATCCCCCCTCCCATTTTCCCACAGTAGAATTTGTGGCAGGCCTGAAGGCTCAAAGGTACTCAAAGGTAAAAGATGGCTTCCAGGTCTGACATAAAGTGGGGGAGGGATATAAGCAGGGCCGGATTTAGATGAAAAGAGGCCCTAGGCTATTCCACTTATGAGGCCCTTTCACCTATAGTGAAAGTGTAATTTTAATTTTGTTAACAATTTGAATGTAGGCCCCTCTTGATCTTGAGGCCCTAGGCTGAAGCCTAGTTAGCCTATAGGAAAATCCGGCCCTGGATATAAGCTCCTTTAGATGTCTTCAATTTTCTAGGGGAAAATTGCAAATAACTATCAGTGATCTTGATTAGGGGAAGAAAAGGAGTTTGTGTCCATATGTTGGCATCAAGATGGCAAACATCATCCCTTGGTGGTAATAGCAACAATTAAAAATAGATTTACTTGACTGCAATACGTCGTAGGTAAAGCTAATTTCTTTTAAATGGTTGGATAACAATAAAACATTGCCAGAATTTGTTTGGGCAAAGCAAATACGTTGGATAATGACAAAGGGGTATAGTTAGAATGGTAAAAATGTGTTTTGCATGCCTTACATTATATTCAGGACAATCTGCCTTATGTTATAATGGGACTTCCAGAATCAAAGCTTATTTGGGTAAACTTGTTGTGCTGTCTTGTCCTATTTTTTCCTTCTAATAGAAGGAAAGAAGAAGACTAACAGAGCAAACAGAAGGCTAGTAGAGTGAGGGGGTAAGCTTTTAATTCCTGCTATCAATATGGAGTCCCTTGTGAAGAATTATCTTCCCCTTATGGAAAACTGAAATTAGTATATTCTTCCTAGTACAAAGACCCAGATTCATTTAATTACCATATCAAGCTGGGCCATGCCAGTCTAATCAAAGCTCATTATAAGCACTGGAAGCTTTCAAGAAGAGACTGGACTACCATCTGTCAGAAATGGTGTAAGGTCTCCTACTTGGGAAGGGGTTTGGACTAGATGACCTATCAGCAGGGGTGAAATCCAGCAGGTTCTGACAGGTTCTGGAGAACCGGTAGCGGAAATTTTGAGCAGTTCGGAGAACAGGTAGTGGAAATTTTGAGTAGTTCAGAGAACTGGCAAATACCACCTCTGACTGGCCCCAGAGTGGGGTGGGAATGGAGTTTTTGCAATATCCTTCCCCCAGGAATGGAGAGGGAATGGGGATTTGTAGCATCCTTCCCCTGGAGTGGGGTGGGAATGGAGATTTTGCAGTATCCTTCCCCTGCCACACCCACCAAGCCACACCCACAGAACCGGTAGTAAAAAAAATTGGATTTCACTTAACAATCTGGTGACTAACTTATCAATTTCAGTGATTCACTTAACAACCATATGAAGCAACGGTCTTAAATATGAACTAATTGCCAAGCACCTGAACTTTTTTTAAAACTTTTTTTAAAAATATTTTTTATTAATATATTCTATACACCAATACACATATTTAAGACCGTTGCTTCATATGGTCCCCTTTTGTGACCTCCTGCTAAAGAAAGTCAACGGGGAAGCCAGATTCACTTAACAATCGGGTGACTAACTTATCAATTTCAGTGATTCACTTAACAACGGTGGCAAGAAAAGTTGTAAACATGAGGCAAAATTCACTTAACAACTGTCTCACTTAGCAACAGAAATTCTGGGCTCAAGTGTGGTCATAATTTTGGTCAGTATGCTCACCATCTTGAATTATAAAAAATGGATAGATATTTATGTAGAGAAAGAAAGAAAGAAAGAAAGAAAGAAAGAAAGAAAGAAAGAAAGAAAGAAAGAAAATAAAAGAATATAAAATGTAAAATAAAATAAAATAACAAATAATAAATAGAATAAAATAAAATAAAATAAAATAACAAATAATAACGAATAGAATAGAATACTATAAAACAAAATAAAATTAAATGTAAAATAAAATAAATAATAACTAGAATAAAATAAAATAAATAATAACTAGAATAGAATAAAATAATAATATAATAATATAATATAATACAATAAATATAATATAATATAATATAATATAATATACTATTATAATATAATATAATATAATATAATATAATATAATATAATATAATATAATATAATATAATATAATATAATATAATATAATATAATATAATATCCCTGCTAACAGCAAAGGCCCCTCTTCCCATACATCCCATAGAAGGAATGTTTTGTCCTCCGCAAGACATCTACCATCTCATTCAGTGTAATCGACTTGTCATTTTCTACCAGTAGGTCTGACACTCTTCCACTGGGCATCATCATTTATTAAAATGCTTGTGCTCAGGTCAACTAATGACTGGAAGACGTGCTTATAGCTTGCAGGAAAGGAGCTGTCAGTTTGCAATTATGCATCTAAGAATGTTGGGAAGCCTTTGCCCGATTGGTTCCAAATAGAGGCCACAGCAAGAAATTTCATTTGGGAAGATTAACTTTTAAGAAGATCCATTATGCCTTGCTTTGAGTTCCTTGTGGCTTGAAATTTAAATAGCAAAGCCATAACAGGATCAAATAGCCAGCCTGCTACTAACTAAATCCTTCCTGCTCAATCTGCTCCTGCAATTTAAAAAGTCTGAGTGAAGAGTGATCCATATTGAAGTGAGTGAAGAGTGAAGAGTGATCCTCTCGTCTGGACTATTGTAACGCTCTCTACGTGGGGCTCCCCTTGAGGTGCACTCGGAGGCTCCAACTGGCGCAGAGTGCGGCCGCGCGGGTGGTTATGGGAGCAACGTGGAGTTCCCATGTAACACCTCTCCTACACGAGCTGCACTGGCTCCCGGTGGTCTTCCGAGTGCGCTTCAAGGTTTTGGTTATCATCTTTAAAGCGCTCCATGGCTTAGGACCTGGTTATCTACGGGACTGCCTGCTACCACCAATAGCCTCCCACCGGCCAGTACGCTCCCATAGAGAGGGGCTCCTCCAGGTGCCGTCGGCCAAACAATGTCGACTGGCGGCCCCTAGGGGGAAAGCCTTCTCTGTGGGGGCACCTACGATCTGGAACGAGCTCCCCCCGGAGATACGGAGGATCCCGGATCTGTGCACCTTCCGTCGCGCGCTTAAGACTTTTTTATTTCATCAAGCTGGCCTGGCCTAAATCTTCTCCCCTTTTAAATGTAAATTTTAATTTGTTTTAAATTATGGCGTATTTTAATTTCAGCCAAATTATTTAATTCGTTTTTAATCTATTTTAAATTTTTGTATTTATGTATTTTATCTTGTGGCTGTTCACCACCCTGAGTCCTTCGGGAGAAGGGCGGTATAGAAATTTAATAAAATAAAATAAAATAAAATAAATAAATATTGCTGAAAACATTGAAGGAGGAGAACTGGGTTACTCGTCTGACATATTGCTGGAGAGTAAAGCCTTAGATGTATCCATCGCCTGCTGTGCCAAGAAGCAGGGCATTTAATGTGTTTAGACTGAATTGTAAGCAGGACCACTTATACCAGGGGTGTCAAACTCGATTTCATTGAGGGCTGCATCAGGGTTGTGTTTGACCTCGGAGGGCCAGGGTAGGCGTGGCCAGGATGGGCATGGCCAGCTCACGCATGTTGGGGGCTGGCCTATGGCGGCCCGAGCATTCTGCCAGCAAAAATGGGCTCTCGAGTTCCGTTTTCGCCTGTGATGGCCTCCTGTAATCCTCTACCAGCGAAAACGTAGCTCATGAGGGCCGCCCACAGCCTCGCAAGCTCCGTTTTCTCTGGCAGAGGCACCACAGGCGGGTCCTTCGCTGTTTACAGGACAGCCCCGCAGACCAGATCTAAGCAGCCTGCTGGCCAAATGCATTCATCCAAGTGGGGTTTGAAAAGAGAAGGCCTCACATCACACGTGGTTAAGCTGATGTGCATTTAGAGATGATCCACCCCCAAACTTCAATGGAGCTCCCCTGTTAATAGTTAATTTCAGTATCTTGGCTTTGGTTGCAAAATCATTAACACAACAGACCTCTGGACACAAACAGTGACATTGCCTAACTTTTTATTTTAGTAGATTTACTGCTTTTAAGTGGATGGAATTTCATATATTTTAGTGAGGGGTAGCAGGGGTGGGCTGCTGGAGGTTTGCAGGGGTTCGGTAGAACCTCTAGCTAAGATTCTGTGCAGTTCGGAGAACCCCCAAATCCCACTCCTGGCTGGCCCCACCCCTCCCACCCCTCCCAGGAGTCCCCATGTGGCCCGTTTTGGATGCAGGTAAGGGCAGGAGGCCCACGGAGGCTTGGGGAGGGTGAAAAACGGGCCTATCAGAAGTTCAGGAAACGGGCCCAGATCCTGGAGAGGCTGCTTTCGCCCTCCTGGAGGCTCAAAGAAAGCCTCTGGAGCCTGAGGAGGGCAAATACACCCCCCCCACCATGGTGCAGGAGGCTGACTAGGCCACGCCCACCATGGCCATGCCCACCCAGCAACCAGGCAGAGAACTCCTTGCTAAAAATTTTGAAGTCCACTCCTGAGGGGTAGTATATTTTAGGAAGGTTCATGTTGTTGTGTTCTGTTCTGGTAAACAACCTTGAGTTTTAGTTTGGGCAATATATAAATATATGTAAGAATAATAACAATGCTGACAGAGAACAAAAAGTCACAAGAGATACAGAATCAGTTCGGAACTGATTTATAAAGATCTTTATGGGTATTTATTCTTCAACAATATATAGACCTTTTCCGGACATAGTGGTATCTCACCGAAGATGATTACATTCAGATGTAGGATAAAGGAACTATTTGGTTAAACTTGTAGAAAAATCATATTATGAATATAAAAAGAGCTACAAGGCATTCTTTTCGAACCATTGCTTCATTTCCAAACTCAAAGAACCAAGAATCGCTTTGAGATGGCTATATAAATGAATAATTGTGCCAGGAAGGCTAAAGTTAGGGTAATATCTGTGGACCAGAATAAGAATGCTACAAAGATGTGCTCTCAAGGACCGTATGGGTCTGTGGCATTGCTGATACGACCACAGAAATATTGAATATATTTCAGAATTCACTTCACAGTGAAGTCCTGCTGCTCAGAATTCTGTAAGCAGAGATGCTTACTCACCTTATGAGTAAAGTCAGTCAAGGGAACTCTTAAATATAAATCTACATTTATATTTTTCTTTCTTATAAAAGTAGCAAGAAGGAATTTTTTTTCCTGGCATTTGTAGATGATTTTTCAAAACATGTTTGTTTATTTATTTGTTTGTCAACTTAATGAAGCTACCAATTCCATGAAAACTCTGGTGTACAATATTAAAAACAGCAAGGAACAGATTAATAAAGCAAAGAATGATACATGTTCAAACGGGAAAAAGCTATTCTAATTAACTTGCAGTTTCCTATCAAGGACTTTCCACTCACTGTAGCCCAAAGCCAGAGGGGAAAGCAGGTTTTTGAAAGACCTTATAAATGCAATTGTCACCCAAAGGGGGAGAAAAAAATCACAAAGTGCAATGGGTATGTGGCCAGAGCGAGCAATAAATTTGGAGGAAACCTTAAGATTTTGCACACCAATTATTTTTATTATTATGTTGTGCTCAGCCACTGTTGCCAATAATAGAACCAGTGCATTCTCTAGGTGTCATAAATACTGTAGAATGTCACTATTCATAAACACTTCTAGACATTGAATTGAGTAGTCCACCAGTGCCTGATCCAAAGCACATTAAGGCAGTGGTGAAATGTAAAATTTGTTACTACCGGTTCTGTGGGCGTGGCTTGGTGGGGGATAATGTGACTGGGTGGGCGTGGCCAACTTTTTTTTTTTTACTTTTAAAACCATTTTTTCTACAACCTCTTCAGCCGAAAAGATTGTAAAAAATGCTTTTAAAAGCCTCTGACAATCCCAGCTGAGTTGCCTGATCATCAGAGGCTTCTTTTTTCTTTTAAAAGCCTCTGACAATCCCAGCTGAGCCACGCGATCATCAGAGGCTTTTTTTTTTTTACTTTTAAAAGCATTTTTTCGGCTGAAGAGGTTGTAGAAAAAATGCTTTTAATTTTTTTTTTAAAAGCCTCTGATGATCGTGCAGCTCAGTTGGGCATGGGGGGTGGGCAGGGATTTTTGCTACCAGTTCTCCGAACCACCCGCCTCCATCGCTACTGGATCGGGTGATCTGGTCCGAACCGGGAGCATTTCACCCCTGCATTAAGGTACTTGGATCCAACAGGTGTGCTTACATTTCCAAAAGAAAAAAGGGGTGAACTAAATTACAGAAGTCATGAAGGGGTATGTTTCCTAACACTGATGATGTTATCTAATTGGGTTGTGAAATGTCCAAAGAAAACAACCAAGCTAAAAAAAGCACCAGAGACCTCACAATTCAACCCCGAGCAACAAATACTCTCTTCTGTTGGCATATTTCTGAGATGGGCTGCAAAGGATATGCCAACCTTGAATTTGTTACAGAAATAGTTAGATTACATAGCATTGTCTGCTTTGATGACAGCCAACAATGTAGACATCCCAACTGCAACAAAACAATACAATAGTCTCAGGAAGAGAATGAGCTGGCCATTAATGGAGAAGTCTGCATCAAAAGATGATGGGCTGTTGTTCATAAAAGTTTTTAAGCCGAAGAGGAACGACTACTGTTCAGGGATGATATTGCAATGAGTTTCCTGCAGAAAAAAATGAGCTTGTCTGGTTGAACAGAAGTCTCTTGGTGTTCTAAGAATGAATCCAGAAGCAGACATATCTTAGTAGGAATATTTGTAAGATCTTGTTCTGTTCCCCTTCCCCACACAGGCAAACACACAACCAGGCACGCCTGCCAAGATTTTATTAAGCAAGCAGACTAGAAACCCTTGCAGATAAGAGTTTTGGCAGGAAACTGCGAAATGCCTACCAAGTCAGTTTTCACTCACAGTCAGCAAGAGAGAGAGTTTCTCCTCAGTCCGGTTCAGTAGCAAAAAGTAATCCACGAAGCAAGAGTTAGCCAAGGTCCAATCCAAATATGCACAAGCCAGATTTCAGGTAATGCGATGTGATTCTCAGGTTTTTAACTTTGACCGTCACAAAGCCTGAAGAGCAATCACCCCCAGTTTTATTCCTTGTGGGGTGTGGCTCAGTGACTCAGCTCAATCTCTGACCCTCCCACACCTCTTTCGTTGCTGTACATGCTTCTCCCTCCGACACTGCCTGGAATCAAGCCAGGATTCATCATCCTCGCCCCCTATCTGTTGTTGTTCCGATATGCTTTCCTCCTGGCATATCCCAGGCTGTTCCTCTTGGCCTTCGGATGGAACCTGAGGCATTGCCAGAGAGGAGGGTCCTGGAGAGGGAGGCCTTATCAGTTCCTCCCCATCACCTTCTGAGTCCTCTTCCTCTGTTAGGACAGGCTCGGGAGTCAGGGTCACAACAGATCTACTGTGACTTGAATTAATGGCATAGGGAAATTGTCAAGTGTATGAATTTATATTTCTATTGTGTATCAGTATATTGATATTGTGACAACCTATTGATTCCCATGATGGATGTATTTTATAGCAGGGAGATTTAGCAACTTGGATGATTAAAAATAATCTGTTACCTGCTTATGCATGAATTTCTAGCTGTTGCATTAAATCTTTATCTTGTTCTAGAATTTAGATAAGATTTATAATCTGTTGAATTCATGTCTGGGCATTAGAGGACCAGGTGAATTGAGACTAAGGTGATCCTGACAGACTTTGCAAGAGAACTAGCAAGGTCCCTTATCTGGACGTTATTCTTATTTGATGGTCAGTTGCTTCTTGCTTGCTTGACTTCTCTGTTATTCTTTTGTAGTGTAAACTGGAACAACAGGCCTGCCTGACCAGCAAGCAGCTGACAGTGAAATGTGAGGGTCAGTGCCCATGCACAAGTGAACATAGTCCAACTTCAGCCACGGATCTCAAGCAAGGTCAGTGATCATCTACTAAGAATCTGAATAATTGTACTCTCTCCTCTTCTCCATCTTATGGCTCTATAGAGCAGTGTTTCTCAACCTTGGCAACTTTAAGATGTGTGTGGACCTCAACTCCCAGAATTCCCTAGCCAGAATGTGGATTCTGGCTGGGGGATTCTGGGAATTGAAGTCCACGTATCTTAAATTTGCCAAGGTTGAGAAACACCGCTCTATAGACACACAGAATAAATAAGAACACTGGTCAAATTAGACAGTGAACTGTATTCCATGGCTGACCTTTTCTGTGTCCCCACATGACACTCTTTGCTCTATATATTTGTTGGTATCCTGGACAACATCACCATTTGAATATAGATGAGGTCAGTCCTTGAACATAGATGAAGTCAGTCTTCCAGTAACACAGAGAGCAGATATTTTGAGGATAAGTTCAACATTATTTGACTGGCAACGTGGCCACGATTTATCAGATAATTTAGTTGCAAACTGACTATGAGAATAAGCAAAAGGAAAGCTTTAAAGTAGAGATTCAAACCACTAAATCTGGGGTTCAGTTTTCAGTTTAGGTTTCATAGTATCTGGAGTTCAATTCTAATTCAAACAACAAAGGATAAACAAATGAGCATCAAGAGATCCACTCAGCTTCATACAATAAAATGTGTTGGTTGTAACTCACAAAATCCTCATAACCTATCATAAATATTTGTGGGCAAGCTAAGGATGTTAGGGGCCAAAATACACCCCAAAAATAGGATTCATCTTACCTGTGACTATATACAATAATCCTGTCAGGGTTCCTGTTCCAGCCGTCCAGGTACAGGGCAAGATGGCCTTGACTCTCTGAGAAAGGAATGTTATTTTGACTATATATCACCCATGCTCCATACAATCCCCTGTCCCAGTTTCCCACAGTAGTAAATGTGACAGGCCTGAAGATCCAACAAATACATACAGTATGCATCTGATATACATGTAAAATTAAAGGTTTTTTCCCCTCAATTATTGTTTTATAACAATAACCCACTTAATTGTCAAAATCCAAAGTCAAAATTTCATATTATTTTTCTCTTTCACACAGAAAGTCCACAAGCTGATTCCAAATACCCACAAAATTATTTACTTTTCTGTCCCTAATTAATGCGGTCACCTTTGCCATCTCCACCAACCTTCCATTATCTTTTCAAACCATTCCTCTGTGGTGAGGATTAACACTTCTTTCCATTTCTGGGCGTAAAAAATTCTTGCAACTGAATATAATGAACACAAATATCTATGGAGATTCTCAGTCATCCAGGTCATGGTTGTCCCAAAGGTGCTTTTTCAAGAGGCAACTGGACTTCCTTGTTTTTTTTCTTTGAAGATGTTTCGCTTCTCATCCAAGAAGCTTCTTCAGCTCTGACTGAATGGTGGCTTCCTTGCTGTTTTTAAAATTACCTGTATATCCCATATATACTTGCATATAAGTCCATCTTCAAATAAGCAAACCCCTCACATTTTTAACCAAAATGCAATGAAAAATATGGGGCAACTCATTGATGGGTGGTGCATTTTTCATGATATTTTGGTGAAATTGTCAAGGATCATCTTATCTGCAGATGGCCTTATACCAGGAGTGAAATCCAGCAGGTTCTGACAGGTTCTGGAGAACCACTAGCGGAAATTTTGAGCAGTTCGGAGAACCGGCAAATACCACCTCTGGCTGGTCCCAGAGTGGGGTGGGAAAGGATATTTTGCAATATCTTTCCCCTGGAGTGGGGTGGGAATGGAGATTTTGCAGTATCCTTCCTCTGCCATGCCCACCAAGCCACACCACACCACACCCACCAAGCCACGCTCACCAAGCCACGCCCACAGAACCGGTAGTAAAAAAAATTGGATTTCCCCACTGGCTTATACACAAATATATAGAGTAGATATGAAACTAAAAAGTGAACGCTTAGCGTGGTAATAACATCTTGATTTTAGAGATCATTTCCTGGCAGATTTCAGATACAACAAACATAATGTTAGCTTTAGATTCACAGTACTACCAAATAATGATCGTGGTGCAGTGTTTTTGGGACAGTCTGGACTACTGATGAAATTTACCTCTTTTGAATCAATTTGCATAGTTAGCAAATGACACAGATGACAAAAATTGTATAGATTAAGACTTAAGAGACATTCAGCTTTCATAGACATACCCTTTCCACTCGTCCTCACGAGGTCTGTAAAGTTGACATTTTATTGCAATTTTCTGCCACCAGATTAAAGAAGGTGAGTCACTTCTTGTGACTCTTAGATCAATTTCATTGCAGCCCTAGAGAATTTTTCCTCTCTATTCTTGTCCTCCTACCCTAACGCTGAGAATTTATTGCATAGACAAGAAATACTGTATCATGCTCTTACTATCGCCATGGACAAAACCAAGTTTTGGTAGCCTTTGAATAAGGAGTTGTGCACTTACTTACTGTCTTCCTATCTGGAATGCTCACCTGAGATGCTACCAACTGATTTGCAGAAACCTGCACTGGGCAAGACTTGGCAGATCTGGGCGATCGACTGCGCGACTGGTTCCAACTGCTGCATGAGAACGCCAAGCAGAACAGCTCTGGGAGTGTTGGTCCCAATCCTGTGAATGGTATGTGGAGTTCTACTTTTCTCCTTTGGGCGCATGGACAGAAGAAGTGGCTAGATGGCTCAGTGGCTAAGACACTGAGCTTGTCAATCAGAAAAGTTGGCAGTTCGGCAGTTCGAATCCCTAGTATAAGTCTCCTGCATGAGCAGGGGGTTGGACTAGATTACCTCCAAGGCCCCTTCCAACTCTGTTACTGTTACTGGGAAACTCTCAGGCCATTTGCATTTTCCCAGGGCCCCTAGATTGCTGCCAGAATTTGACAGCAAGCGGCCAAAAGGTGAGTGGTGCAACTTGGTTGCTGAGTCTGGATTTTTGGACAGCCTTAAGAATGAGAGCAGGATATCTTCTGATGGATGCTCCCTCCCCTTCCAATCCCATCCATAACTTCCCACCAGAAAACTGACCCAGAACAGGCTGAAAAATGCCGCCAATAGCACATGTTTTCCTGTATTTGTTCCAAATTCACCCTTGGAATACTGCATCCAGTTTTGGTCACCATATTATAAAAAAGGTATTGAAACTGGTATTATGTGTTAAAAATGTATTGAGCTCAGAGAAGAGCAACAAAGATGATTAGTGGGCTAGACTCAAGGATAAAACTTATGAGGAATTGGGTTTGTCTAGTGAAATGAAGGACTAGGGGTGACATGATACCTAGCAGTGTTCCAATATTTAAGGAGCTACCACAAAAAACGAGTAGGTCAACCTATTTTCCAAAGCACCAGAAGGTAAGACAAGAATTAATAGATGGACACTAATCAAGGAGTGAAGCAACTTAGAAGTAAGAAGAAATTTCCTAATGTGGAATGGCTTGCTTTTAGAAGTTGTGGCTGCTCCATCACTGGAGGCTTTTAAGAAGAGACTGGACAGCCACTTGTCTGGAATGCTATACAGTCTCCTGATTGAGTAGGGGGATGGACCTCCAAGGTCCCTTCCAACTCTGTTATTCAAATGTTAGGAGACTTAGCTGTGCTCCCACCCCCTAATCCTGTGGAAATTGCCTTCCTCATCTGGACAAACTGATTAAGTTTGCTGTCAGATCAGAAAGTTAAGTCTGTCTTAAGCTGGATTCTCATCAGAGGAGATGTCCTTGTTGCTTTACTATCAGCCAAATTGCAGTGGCTTGGCACTGTTTTCTTCCACAAGGTATGAGGGAGGGAAAAATCACAATTAGAGCTTCATTTGTTGTTGTTTTTAATGTCCCTTGCATGGCTCCACTTCTAGGAAGTACATTTTATTTATTCTTATCTTACTTGTTACATTTACCACCTTTTCTCCAAAGGTTCAAAGTGGATCTCCATTCATTATATACATCCACAGTCCTGTGAGATACAGTAGGTGGGGTAAGAGAGGTGACTGGGATGATGGATCTGCTCTTCTTAGGATCCATCGGAATCAGTCACACTATTGCCAGCCCTGGGAGTTGAATGTCTTATTCTGGGTAGCTGAAAAATCCTGACATCTGAGCCAAGCCCTGCAGAAGAATGGAAACTGTGACTTGTTCTTGGGGAATTACGATGATTACAAATCATGTCCAAATAGGACTGAAAGAAACAAGCCACTTTGTTCCCCGGTTGGGCGAAATGTGGGGGCTATCGATTCTGCCCAGTTGCTAAGCGAGCGCCAGACAGCAAACATTTTTGTGCACTTGTTACAAAAATAAATACCTCTCCGGTCCCTGAGCCGAGTTGGCAGATTGATCCCAAAGCACTTGCAGACTTCGAAGTGCCATAATTCAGGAACAAGATCATTAGCTTAAATGTCACTGAATAGAAATGGCTTCCCAGGAGAGGGAGGTGGATGAAATCAAGTCTGCTTGTTGGGTTTTGTGCAGATGCTCTTCTGCCATCCTTGCCAATGCAGCCAAAAAGGGTGGGGGCACACACAAAAAAAAAAATCATGATGATCGTTGTGATGGTATGATTGGAGTCCTGCCCCCCCTTTTTTTTTTAAATGGAGGCCCCTGCAGCCATGGTGAGGGGGTTGTGTTATCAGCGAGCGTTTGCAGATAAGTTCATTAGCTATAATGTAAAAGTAAAGGTAACAGTTCCCCTTGCACATATGTGCTAGTCATTCCTGACTCTAGGGGGAGGTGCTCATCTCCATTTCAAAGCCAAAGAGCCAGCGCTGTCCGAAGACGTCTCCGTGGTCATGTGGCCGGCATGACTCAATGCCAAAGGTGCACGGAACGCTGTTAACTTCCCACCAAAGGTGGCCCCTATTTTTTCTACTTGCATTTTTTACGTGCTTTCAAACTGCTAGGTTGGCAGAAGCTGGGATAAGTAGCAGAAGCAATTACGTGACACTAGGGATTCGAACCGCTGAACTGCCGACCTTTCGATCGACAAGCTCAGCGTGGAGAGCAAACTGATCCATATAGTGAAATGAGAAGGAGGAGCAGGCAGGGTTGACCAATTTCAATGCTCCTTGATCTGTCACATCTGCAGCATGTTTTTCCTGGAGAGTCCTATTTAGAACAGAGATGAGGCGTGATGGTTATGGCGGTAGGAGGTCAGCATTAGATCTCAACCTTTTAAAAGCGATCAATGGCTCTTCTGCTAACCCAAAATTGTATTTCTTTCGCCTCTAGCTTGAGAGAAAGACAGGCAGTTGTCAATTTGGCCTCCGGGCTGACAGTTGTGGGTCTCGTGCTTAAGTATGCAGACTTAATTAATATATTCTCTTTGGAGTGCTTTCGATCTCCAGTGCAGAATTTCACACTGCATAAAGTTCCCTTTAAAGCCTCAAGTCTGAACCTTGCCACTCATTAGTGGCATCTGTCAATCTTTCCCGGGGATAATACTTTTCATTATGTATGCTCTATATAACCTTTATATAAATTAACATTGTGCACTCAGAAAAGCTGGATCCTATGACCTGTGTAACGGATGCAAAGGACTGCATTAGTGGAATATGTATTAGTTTCCTCTGGTAGTTTGGATAATAGAATAGCACTGTGCACAGTTTTGCAGGAATTCTGCTTCCTAAGTAAAGGATACTTTACTTAGATAGTTTTTAAACTTGGCTTTAGAAAGGTGGCTTTGGAAAGTAAATCAAGGGTTGACTATTCGATTCTCTCTTCATCACCAGTAAGGATAATGGTTGGAAGTTGTAGTTCAGCAATACTTGGAGGGCCTGAGTTTCTCCATCCTTTTGTAAGGAGATAGTACACTCCTTAAAAACAGCAGTAGGACCTGCAAATACTGCAATGTATGTATCCAATGTAGCCTGACTAGGTGGCTCAGTGGCTAAGATACTGAGCTTGTCGATGAGAAAGGTCGGTACTTCGGCGGTTCGAATTCCTAGCACAGGTCTCCTGCGTGAGCAGGGGGTTGGACTAGATGATCTCCGAGCTCCCTTCCAACTCTGTTACTGTTAAAATGGTCCCATCTGTGTCCTACCCAAAGATCCCCTTTTCTCAGTGTTCTCCACTCACATATGCACATGTACAAACATACATATCCCAATGTATTGCTTGCTTTCCGGTTTGCTCATTACATTCTATGACTATTGGTCATGCTCAGTCTTAATTTAGCTGTGTGTGTTTGTGTGTGTGTTGTGCCTTCAAGTCAAGTGTTGAGCTCTAGCAGCTGCCTGGACAAGTCCTTGCAGAGAAAAGATGCCTCCTTTTTAAAGGACATTTGAAACTCCTGTGAAGGTTGAGTGACTCATACATGCTGATTTCTCTTGTGATCCTGTTATGAACTGATAAGTCTCTCTCTCACACACTCTCCCTCTTCCTCCCTCCCTCCCTCTGCTCCGTTTGTGTCTGTCTGTCTCTCTCTCTCTCTGTTTCTCTGTCTCTGTCTCTCTCCCTCTCCCTCTCTGTGTGGGTCTGTGTCTGTGTGTGTGTCTCTCTCTCTGTGTGTTTCTCTGTCTGTGTCTCTCTCCCTCTCCCTCTCTGTGTGGGTCTGTGTGTGTGTGTGTGTCTGTTTGTGTCTGTCTGTCTGTGTCTCTCTCTCTGTTTCTCTGTTTCTGTCTGTCTCTGTCTCTCTCATCTCCTGCCTGAGCAGGGATTGGACTAAAATACCTCCAAGGTCCTTTCCAAAACTGTTATTCTGTATTCTGTAACTATCAATCCCTTGGGTTAATTCTTAGAAGGACTAATGAAAGTTAAGATTTTCTGGATGTGAAAATCTGCATTCCATTTCTGCAATCCCCTGACTGCAGAATACAGACTTCAAAATTCTGTGAACTGCAGAAGGGCAAGGACATTCCCTGCTCTTTCTGCCTCTCCAGTTATTCGAATTTTCATTTTATTGCAGCCCTGGACAAGAACCTGGTGGCCAGTTGCAAAGACTCCATTGGCTGGATGTTTTCCAAATTGGACACCAACAGTGATCTGTTCCTGGACCAGGCAGAATTGGCAGCTATCAACCTGGACAAGTATGAGATCTGCATCAGGCCCTTCTTCAATTCCTGTGACACCTACAAGGATGGCCGTGTCTCCACTGCAGAGTGGTGTTTCTGCTTCTGGAGAGAGAGTGCGTCACAAGATATATATTTTTTTTCTTCCTGCTATGACCTTTAAATCTTTGTTATTACAGGTGGAAGGCTAAAGATTATAGCAGCTGCTTAGACAAACATAGATAGCAATAGCAATAGCACTTAGACTTATATACCGCTTCATAGTGCTTTTACAGCCCTCTCTAAGCGGTTTACAGAGTCAGCATGTTGCCCCCAACAATCTGGGTCCTCAGATTATCAGATACTCTGATAATATAGGTGTAGTTTGATCAGTGGTGGGTTTCAACCGGTGTAATAACCGGTTCGCGCACGTGCTCCGTGCAAGCTCGTTGCATGTCAGAACAGCTGAGCCGTGGCAATCCGTTCTGCCGCACCTATCAGCTGGGCTAAAAACAAATGAATATAGGTAAGTATAGTGCAGGGGCAGGCGGGAGGGCCCAGCTGATGGTCGGAGCGAACCAGCTCACTCTTAGCTCACCATTGGTACTACTGGCTCGCGCCAACCATCAGCTGGGCCGTCCTGTGCGCCCCTGCACTATACCTACCTATATTTGCTCATTTTTAGCTCAGCTGATAGGCGCGGCAGAGTGGTCCTAACCCTAACCCTAACCCACCACTGAGCTTGATGTACTAGATAGCTTGTTAAAGAGAGATTCAGCCTAGAAGTAAGGATAAATTTTCTGATAGTGAGAGCAATTAATCAATGGAATATCTTGCCTCCTGGAGTTGGGTGGGTGCTTCATTACTAGAGGTTTTCATAAAATAAACTGTACAACCATTTGACTGTCATTGTATAAAGTATCATGCCTTGAACAGGAGATTGGACTGGAAGATCTCTGAAATTCCTTCCATTCCTATAATTCTAAGTTCTATGTATCTAGGTCAGGGGTTAGCAACCTGCGGCTCTGGAGCCTCATGTGGCTCTTTCACCCCTCTGCTGTCACTCAAAATATGCATCACAACCGCCAATGTGCGACACCTGCCAGCACACCATTTATTGAGTTTTTCAACCCCCAGTAGGCTAACCATGGATAAATCCAAGAAAAGAAAAGTTTCAAAAGAAAACAAAACGTTTAATTCAACTACATAGCCTAGTTTTGTGGCCACTCAAGAAATAGGCACGGGAAGAGTTTTGTGGCTCCTGGTGTTTTCTTTTCTGTGGGAAATGGGTCCAAATGGCTCTTTGAGTGTTTAAGGTTGCAGACCCCTGATCTAGGTGTACGTTGATGGCACCGCCATTACTACCAGATTTCAGAGAACAAAACAAAGGCCCGATGGACTGAGGTGTATATTAAAGCTTGGGCTCTGTTTCAAACGAAATAACGAAATGCCTAAAATGTATCTAATGCATTTTCCTAAATTCATAGATCTATTTGCATATATGATTACAGTCATCTTTCCAAACAAGCTTGTAGAACAGGTGAATGCTTTTGTCCCTCTACTCCAGATTGGGGAAGAATTGCTGGAAAAAGAACTTGCTTCCTTAATATGCTCAGGAGATCACGTTGAGTTGAGTTGGCACTGATGAATTCTGCTTTGATTATTACAGAGCCTCCATGTCTGACGGAGCTGGAGAGGATTCAAATCCAGGAAGCTTCAAAAAAGAAACCTGGTGAGTTGCTGAGATGAGAGCAGAAAAGAAAATTGTTTTGGAGACTTGGGGGGGGGGGAACCTCTTGTTTGTCTATAACAGGGGTGTCAAACTAGATTTCATTGAGGGCCACCTCAGGGTTGTGTTTGACCTCGGGGGGGTGTAGCCAGGGGGCATGGCCAGCTTGACATCACTCATTGAAGCTTCGTTTTCAGCTGCGACGGCCTCCTGCAGTCCTCTGCCAGTGAAAACGGAGCCTGGGAGGGCCGCGTGTGACCCTCCTGAGCTCCATTTTTGCTGGTAGTGGCACTACAGGCCAATCCTTTGCTGTTTCCAGGGTGGGCCCATGGGCCAGATCTAAGCACCCTGCAGGCCGGATCCGGCCTATGGGCCTTGAGTACTATAGAAATATCTATAGATATTTCAGACTATCCAGCATATAGTGAGGGAATGCCCGAACAGAAGGTATCCAGGAGATTCTAGGGACTTCCTCTGCATAACAACGGCAGCTACTGACTGGATCTCCAAACTCGACATTAAACTTTGAAATGTTATTTCTGTTTTCCTCTTAGGTTTTCTTACTGCTTTTTTATTGTTTTAATTGTTTTTAACCTATAAAAATGAAATGTTTTAATACTGTGTGTGACCAACCATACGCTAAATAAATAAACATTTCTAAGAGGCAGTAGAAGTCCTAGTGATATAATTCGGCTCTCTATTAAGGATCTTGGATTATTTATGTATATTTCAATTCTTCAGATAAATATAGTTTTCAGTTCTTAAAATATTATGGGAATAATATATCACATATTTTATGAGAATGAACTTGGCTATATATTAAAAAACCCATGAGTTATTTCAATTATTTGTTTTCTTGTATCCCACATTTATTATTTTTACAAATAACTAAAGGTGATAAATATATCCAACACATCTTCCTCCTCCTATTTTCCCCCACAACAACCCTGTGAGACGTGTTGGGCTGAGAGAGAGTGACTAGCCCAAAGTCACCCAATTGGTTTTCATGGCTAAAGTGGGACTAGAACTCACAATCTCCCACTTTTCCAGCCCAGTGCCATAACAACTAGACCAAACTGTCAGACATACATTTCCTTTTCAATTCTTAAAATAATATTTAGGACCCCTCCCCCCATAGATCTTATCTATTCATGCTGTTTTTATGGGAAACATGAAAGTAACCTCAAACCACAAGCTTCATCTCATGACATAAATTGTTTCAAATCCTACCCTCAGAAGGACGCTATAGAGTACTGTACATCAAGACAACTAGATACAAGAACAGTTTTTTCCCGAACACCATCACTCTCTTAAACAAATAATTCCCTCAAACTGTCAAACTATTCACTAAGGCTGCATTACTCTTGCTACTGGTCTTCTCATCATTCCTGTCGCCCATCTCCTCCCACTTGTGAATGCATGACTGTAACTTGTTGCTTATATCCTTGTGATTTATATTGATATTGATTGTTTCCTAGTATGATTTGATTGCTTATTGTACCATATGACTGTCACTGGGTATTGTGCCTTGTGATTCTTGACGAGAGTATCTTGTCTTTTTATGTACACTGAGAGCGTATGCACCAAAGAAGAATTCCTTGTGTGCCCAATCACACTTGGCCAAGAATTCTATTCTGTTCTGTTCTGTTCTGTTCTGTTCTGTTCTGTTCTATTCTATTCTATTCTATTCTATTCCATTCCATTCCATTCCATTCCATTCTATGTACATACCTCAATGAGGTGGTATGTATGTATGAATACCAGAAGATTGTTTTAATCATTCTGCTTCCCTTTGATCCCCAGGGATATCACCGTCTAGCCCTTATCATTAGATATTGTAGATTGACGCTGGAAGCAGGGGCCATGAGTTAGAAGAAGAGTTGTGTGTGATAGACAACCCATCCTTTGCTTCCAAAATTACCTTATTTACTTTCACCTATGGTGAAAGGTACAGAATTTAACACACTAGAATAACAGAGTTGGAAGGGACTTTGAAGGTCTTCTAGTCCAACCCCCTGCTTAAGCAGGAAACCCTACACCACTTCAGACAAATGGTTGTTCAATCTCTTTTTAAAAACTTTCACTGTTGGAGCATTTACGACTTCTGGAGGCAAGTTGTTCCACTGATTAATTGTTCTCACTGTCAGGAAATTTCTCCTTAGTTCTAAGTTGCTTCACTCCTTGATTAGTTTCCGTCCATTGCTTCTTGTCCTGCCCTCAGGTGCTTTGGAGAATAGCTTGACTCCCTCTTCTTTGTGGCAGCCCCTGAGATATTGGAACACTGCTATCATGTCGCCCAAATTCTTCTTTTCATCAGACTAGACATACCCAGTTCCAGTTCCAGCAACCGTTCTTTATATGTTTTAGCCTCCAGTCCCCTCATCATCTTTGTTGCTCTTCTCTGCACTCTTTCTAGAGTCTCAACCACCTTTAAAGCGCTCCATGGCATTGGACCTGGGTACCTTTGAGACCGTCTTCTGCCACCAGTAGCCTCCCACCGGCCAGTCCGCTCCCACAGAGAGGGTCTCCTCAGGGTGCCATCGGCCAAATTATGTCGGCTGGCGACACCCAGGGGGAGGGCCTTCTCTGTGGGAGCCCCTGCCCTTTGGAATGAACTGCCCCCAGAAATGCGTAAGATCTCCGATCTCCGTGTATTTCGCTGTGCCCTCAAAACCTTATTGTTCCGCCAGGCCGGGCTATCAATGTAAAGATTTTAAATTGGTTTTAAATGTGGGATTTTAAATTTGGGGTTTTTATAATTGAGCCAATTATTTAATAATTTTAACTGTTTTTAAATTTTGTCTGTCTTTGTGGTTTTAATCAGGCTGTACACCGCCCTGAGTCCTTCGGGAGAAGGGCGGTATAGAAATAAAATTAATGAATAAATAATAAATAAAAACATCTTTTTTACCTTGTAAAAAAGAGACCAAAACTGGATGGAGTATTCCACGTGTTGCCTTACCAAGGCATTATAAAGTGATATTAACACTTCACGTGATCTTGATTTGAACTGGGGATATCTAAACTCACAATCACTTGGGAGCCAAGACTTTCCATCAAGTTTGAGAGTTTTCTTTGAAGACTTTCCCAAGACAAGTTGAACTACCGTATCAGTGGTGAAATCCAATTTTTTTTACTACTGGTTCTGTGGGCATGGCTTGGTGGGCGTGGTGTGGCTTGGTGGGCATGGCAGGGGAAGGGTACTGCAAAATCCCCATTCCCTCCCCACTCCTGGAGGAAGGATATTGCAAAATCTCCATTCCCACCCCACTCTGGGGCCAGCCAGAGGTTGTATTTGCCAGTTCTCCAAACTACTCAAAATTTCTGCTACCGGTTCTCTGAACTGCTCAACATTTCCGCTACCGGTTCTCTGAATTGCTCAAAATTTTCACTACCGGTTCTCCGAATTGCTCAAAATTTCTGCTACCGGTTCTCCAGAACCTGTCAGAATCTGCTGGATTTCACCCCTGTACCGTATATAACCCATGGTGTCCTTTCTCAGGATGAGCTGCTCTGCTTCCAATGCTCAGCAAATTCTTCCCCCAGCATGGGAGCATTGATTCAACCCTGAGCCATGGCTTCTCTCTGTCCTGCTGAGAGATACCCCGTTTCCCTGCACAAAAAAAGCTTATCTCAACCATCTATTGTGCAAGTTTTAAATAAACTCACCTAAAGATGCCCAGGAATGGAAAAGCTAGTTTCAAGAGAGCTCAAAATGGTTTGGGAAAGGCTTCGTTTCTTGACCTTACAGACCCAGCTGTATGTCCCTGTCAATTCTGTTTGGGTAACTCTTATGAAATAATAGCCAAACCTATCAAACACATTTATCAGAGGCAAAGAAAAATAAGCCGAGGGCATCCATCTGTAGCATTTGATGAATTCAAACTGTCTTCAATGTATTTTCTGTCTCCAGTCTGTGTGAATTCAGAGATTGAAGGCAAACAAATGCTTATGTGTGCCTGATTTCAAGAGAACAGAAGCTATTTTGACAAAGGCCTGTTTCCTGTAATATGCGTACTTCATCTAAAATGATCACCGTTGATGTTTTCTTTTAATGTTTGCAAATTTTAGAGCTGTAGTTATACCGGTAAAAAATTTTGGCAATCAAAGTTGTGGTTGTTATGTCCTACTAAGTAAAAGTACTAAGTACTAAGTACTAAGTAAAAGTAGGACATAACGTCCCTAAGTAGGGATGCGGTGGCTCAGTGGCTAAGACGCTGAGTTTGTCGATCAAAAGGTTGGCAGTTCAGCAGTTCGAATCCCTAGTGCCGCATAACGGGGTGAGTTCCCATTACTTGTCCCAGCTTCTGCCAACCTAGCAGTTCGAAAGCACGTAAAAAATGCAAGTAGAAAAATAAGAACCACCTTTGCTGGGAAGGTAACAGCATTCCATGTGCCTTTGGGGTTTAGTCATGCCAGCCACATGACCACGAAGACAACATCGGACAGCACTGGCTCTTCAGCTTTGAAACGGAGATGAGCAGCGCCCCCTCGAGTCAGGAACGACTAGCACATATGTGTGAGGGGAACCTTTACCTTACCTTTACTAAGTAAAACATATATCTTACCCCTTGCCCATAAACTCATCGTTTCTTGTGAAGTGATGACCAGCGCTTAATTTATTTACTGTATTGTTACCTCTCCACATTCCCCAACGGTTCAAGAACCTTTATGGAAGTACGACATGGAGTTCCTGGAATTTAAAGATGTTGAAGAGCTGTGTGGATCCATATTTTCTGTGACTAGAGAACACTCCAGTGCCAAAACATCCAGCTCTCTCACATTCATCAGAAGAGCCTGGCAGATGTAATGGATCCCCCAGGCCTGATCCATTGTGTGGGTGTATGACTGATGGAGGAACTCCACATAATAAGCCAACGGAATGAGAAAAAGATTTAGTAATTTGGAATGGCTTTACTCCTGCTAATGTAATGCCTCATTTGCTTGTTGACAATTAGAACCTAAATCACATAATTATGCATTGAAGCGGTGCATGTTTTCAAAAACAGTACCTTGCAGAATATAGTCAATTTTTGTTTTTAAAAGAAAAACCACAGAGATGTAATTGTGGCAAATTTAGCCCCGATGGTTGAGCTCTTTTTCTTGTGAAAGGATTTCTTTCTTTCTTTACATTTCCAGAGGGGGAAAAAAGAAAAATGGAATCTAGTTCAGTGGTAGTGTGGAAACATTAGATCTCCAGGGAGAGGGTAGCTCTCCTTCCGGAAAATAAAATATAATTGTTGCTGTAGCTCAAGTGACTTGCACACGCCAGGCTTTCCATTCCTATTCTCTCAATTTGAAGGTTGACCACGGATAATTTGCACTTTTGTCTATCTGGAAACACAAAGATGAGGGGGAGGATACCACACAGTGGTGGGTTGCCCCCAGTTTAGACCGGTTCGCAAGAACCGGTAATAAAACCAGCGGGAGGCCCTACCCACCGCCCCGGATGTCATCATCAGCAATCTGCGCATGCGCAGAAGCAAGGCGCACACGCAAGCCAAGCGAGTGCGTGCACGTGATCCCATTGCGAACCGGTAGTGAAGGTAAGTAGAACCCACCCCTGATACCACACCATAATCAGAGGTGGGATTCAACCGGTTTGGATTGGTTCAGATGAACTGGTAGTGGCGACCTGCGGGGGGCGCAATCCCGTCCTATTTCTCTGTGTTTTTGATGCTGCACGCATGCATGGCGCACGCAAATTGCCGGATTGTTTAACGTTGCACGTATGTACGGACAGCGCGCACAAGTGAATTGCTGTGTTTTGTGACGCGCATGTGTGCGGATAGCACACGCGCGCTCACATTTCCAGTGCTGGGCGAACCGGTTGCTACAGTATGTGAAGCCCATCTCTGACCGTAATCCAACTGGAGTTCCCCCTCAGAGAGTGCAAAACAATCATTCCTATAGGTGCCCAGTCCCAACTATTTCAAGTCCTAAAAGTAAGAAAAATCACACTGCTGGATCCAATCTGGCTCAGTCACTGGGTCTGGAGGTTTAGCCTTCTGAGTTTTCGGACTCCTGCTGGAACCCATCCTCAAGAAACTTCTTTCTACTGGAATGTGTGCTTTGGGCTATTCTATGCGTAGTATTTATGTGGTGCCTGATTGGGTGTGGCTTCACCAGACACCACATAAGTACAACACATACAGTAGTGGCCAAAATTGTGGAAACCTTGTGGGAAAAGTGTATTTTCTAAAACTAGCTAATAACACCACTTTTTTTTGGGAGTTGCACCATAAAATTATATATCAATGGAAAGATAATTTAATCAAGAATGTAATTCAATAACTTTTATGAAGGATTTGCTATTAGAGTAGTAGTTACAGTATTAAGAAGAAAACACATAGAAAAAACGAGATATACAAAAATTATCACCATAGAAAAAATTGAGATATACAAAAATTATCACCATGTCAGTTAATAGTTGGGTAACCTTTAGCATGAATTATGGCCTTACAACGCCTTCCCATGGAGTGAACCAAGTTTTTTAGTTCTGCAGCTGTTATAATGTGAAACCAAGATTGAATGATGGCTTCTATTAACTGGGTTTGATTGCTGACTAATAAGTTTCTTTAGTCAGCTCCATAGATTTTCAATTGGGTTAAGGTCTGGGCTATTCCCAGGCCATTCCAGCAGTGGAATAGGATTGTCATGAAACTCCCCCCAAAAAGTGGTGTTATTAGCCATCAAACCAGGGGTGAAATGCTCCTGGTTTGGATCGGCTCGGGCAAGTAGGTAGTGATGGTGGCGGGCAGTTCGGAGAACCGGTAGCAAAAATCCCTGCCCCCACCCCCCATGCCCAGCTGAGCCGCGCGATCATCAGAGGCTTTTTTTCTTTTGAATGGCTCTGATGATCCAAGCTCCGACGATCCCAGCTGAGTTGCCTGCCAATCAGGCAACTCAGCTGGGATCGTCAGAGCCTTTTGAAAGCATTTTTTTACATTACTCCCCCACACCAAGCCACGCCCACAGAACCAGTAGTAACAAATTTTAGATTTCACCCCTGCATCAAACCTCAAAAATACACTTTTCCCAAAAGGTTTCCACAATTTTGGCCACTACTGTAGAATAGCCCCAAAGCACAGATTCCAATAGAGAGAAGTTCCCATAGAGAGAAGTTTCGGCTCCGGCACCAATCCGAAAACTCAGAAGACTAAAACTCTGGATCCAGTGACTGATCCAGATTGGATCCAGCAACATCCTGGGACATATATGTGCCTTTATTTGTGACAAATCACATTGTCTGTCCCATAACTCCATGCAGGACATGAGTAAAATTATTAGCCATCACTGGTATAGGTTCTCTTGCTTGAGCCAGGGAATGGACTAGAAGACCTCCAAGGTCCCTTCCAGCTCATTCTAAGTCTAAGTCTAGTCTTCCCTTAGGTGTGAATGGCGGATGGGTGAGTGGCTTCTTCTCAGCCCAACTTATCTCACAGGGCTGTTGATGTGGGGAGTACAGGCAGGGAGCGTTATGTCTGTGCCTGGATGTATACAAAAGCCAAGGTGAAACATAAATATTATACATACATATACATATACATATACATATACATATACATATACATATGTATATGTATATGTATATGTATATGTATATGTATATGTATATGTATACATATACATATACATATACACATACACATACACATACACATACACACATACACATACACATACACATACACATACACATACACATACACATACACATACACATACACATACACATATACATATACATATACATATACATATACATATATATATATATATATATATATATATAGTTCAGGGGCAACTTCAGAAGAAAATTGGATCATTCCACCCCACCCATCCACCTGTTCCATTGTGGAGTCGATATGCAAGCAAAGCGGTAATTTCAGAGGCACGAAGCCATCGGTGCTGCATTGCAGTTCAGCCCAATCTCCCTGACAGAGCTGTTGCTGAGGGAATAAAATGAGCAGAGACCATCACGTAGGCTACCTTGCACTCCCAGATGAAAGGCAGGATATAATTGCAATAATAGAAGCTTCTGGCTGGCAGGGATGATAAAAGGAGAGCGAGCCAGCCAGCAATTTGGCAGCCAGAGGCTTTTCCTGGTAGTAGCTCTAATGGCGGCGGCTACCAGGACTGGAGTAGAGAAAGTGGGGAGGAGGAGAGAGAGGAACAGCAGGGCACCAGAATGGGGCGATGAGGGGCTGTGGGGAAGAAGAAGGGAAGAGTTGTGAAGAGAAGCAACAAAAGTCATTTCACTCTCCAATGCACACAGAAGGGGAAGAATGGCAAGCAGCCACTCTCCTCCAGGAGGCAATAACCCAGAGGAGAACAAAGCAAGCCAAGCTTTACATGTCCTCACCTTGTTGAAGAGGAAAGGGAAGGACCCAATTCTTGACAACGACAAGCCTTTGCTATGGGATAGAATCGCAGTTATCTGCAGCCTTATAAGCTCTTCCACTCAATCCTGGGCTTGTTTTTAAGCAGAATGCGTACTAGCCATGTGCATTTGTCCGGCTGGATGCAAAAAAGGCAGAGCAGTGGCTGGGGGGGGGAGGGACTGTCCAGCCGTCAAGGCCCCTTTCTCCTTAAAGGACCTCTGAAAAGCATGGCAAGCCTGATGTTACTGGGGCAGGGCAAGAATTTATTTATTGGTTTGATTTATATGCCGCCCTTTTCCGGAGACTCAGGGCGGCTTACAATGCATTAAGCAATAGCCTTCGTACTTTTGTATATACCTGCTTAGTAGGGCTTTCGACCCCCCCAAGCGGTGTTCTTTTTTATACAAAGACAGCTTATTGCCCCCACAAACCGGGTCCTCATTTTACCTACCTCAAAAGGATGGAAGGCTGAGTCAACCTTGAGCCTGGTGAGATTTGAACTTGCAGTAATTGCAGGCAGCTGGTGCTACTTAATAGCACTTTAGTCTGCTGCGCCACCAAGGCGCTTATGATTTCCTGCCAGTCACAAAACTCATATTTTGCAGCTTCTATGGAGCTTAAGCAGGATACGCAAGAAAATACACCTGTCCCCTTAAGTTAGTCTGGAAATAAAGGTAAAGGTTCCCCTTGCACATACGTGCTAGTGGTTCCCGACTCTAGGGGGTGGTGCTCATCTCCGTTTCTAAGCCGAAGAGCCAGCGCTGTCCAAAGACGTCTCCGTGGTCAGGTGGCCGGCATGACTAAACACCAAAGGCGCACAGAACACTGTTACCTTCCCACCAAAGGTGGTCCCTATTTTTCTACTTGCATTTTTACGTGCTTTTGAACTGCTAAATTGGCAGAAGCTGGGACAAGTCACGGGAGCTTCCTCCGTTATGCGGTGCTAGGGATTCGAACCGCTGAACTGCCGACCTTTCTGATCGACAAGCTCAGCAGACTGGAGCTGCATTCAGAGAATCCTGGAAGGGAAGTGCCCTAAATTCTCAGTGCCTGTTTTTTTTTTTTTTCCCTTTTAACACAAGAGGGGCGTTTTTTCTTCCCACAGGAGTCTTCATTCCGAGCTGTGATGAGGATGGATACTATCGGAAGATGCAGTGTGACTCCAGCAGTGGGGAATGCTGGTGCGTTGATCATCTTGGCACAGAGCTGACAGGAACCCGGATGCATGGGAATCCAGACTGTGGTAAGGAAAGGGGAGGGGGAGAAGATGTGGGGCAGAAGGGGCATTGAGAATATACCTTACATGTGAAGCGGTGGTGGGTTCCTCCCGGTTCGGCCCGGTTCTGCCAAGCCAGTAGTGGTGATGATATGATGTCACCGAACCGGTTCTGCCCCCCGCACCCCTCCCGCGTTATTCTTATCTTTTATTTGGCCCCACCCCCAATCTATTGCTGCCTCCTGAGTCCCAGCATGATGGATAGAGGGAAAAAAACTGTTTAAATTCTTGCCGCGGGGCTTCAAAGGGCCGCCCTACAGCTGATCAGTGGTAAAAGGCAGTTTGGTGGTAGACCAGTGCCTGCAAAAAAAAATGGGTAGACTGGTGCCTGCAAAAAAAAATGGGTAGACCGGTGCCTCCAAAAACAAATGAGTAGACCAGTGCCTCCAAAAACAAATGAGTAGACCGGTGCCTGCAAAAAAAAATGGGTAGACCGGTGCCTCCAAAAACAAATGAGTAGACTGGTACAGCTGTGCAAGCAGTTAAAAGCCTGGTAGACCAGTACCTCTGCTAAATCCTAAAGAATTGTCACATGACCATCAAGCCACACCCACAAAATATGCCACGCCCACAGAACCGGTAGTAAAAAATTACCCACCCCTGATGCGAAGGACATCTTCATGTCAACCTCTTGGTCATTACAGGTAGACCTCCACTTACGACCATTCATTTAGTGATGATTCAAAGTTACAGCCTCACTGAAAAAAAGTGACTTATGACTGTTTTTCACACTTACAACCGTTGTAGCGTCCCCGTATTCATGTGATCGAAATTCAGATGCTTGGAAACTGGCGTGTATTTATGATGGTTGAGGTATCCTTGGGGTCATGTGATAACCTTTTGCAACCTTCTTACAAGAAAAGTCAGCTGGAAAGCCAGTTTCATTTAATGACCATATGATGCACTTAACAACTGCACTTAACCACAGTAGCAAGGAAGGTCATAAAACGGGGTAAAACTCACTTCTGCCACGGTGGCGCAGTGGTTAGAGTGCAGTACTGCAGGCTACTTCTGCTGACCGCCAGGCTGCCTGCAATTTGGCAGATCGAATCTCACCAGGCTCAAGGTTGACAGCCTTCCACATTTGTCGCGCACATTTGCGAACTGGTAGGGAAGGTAAGTGAATTTCACCCCTGATCCAAACTTAAAAGAATCCTACCTTGTGTGATGGTTAATGATGACAATAAAGGTTGATTTTATTTGAATATTTCTGCACACCTGGCTTGGGACAAGAGCAACTTTAATGCCCATCAGTGCCATTATCCCACATTAATATCCGACTGTGGCAAAATGATTTTGAAAGAATAAAAGAGCTCTCCATGGTTCAATTTTGGCAGTTCAGGTAGTGTTGTGGCCCGTCAGCGGCCTGTGCGGATTGTAGCTGACTCTGACAGCGAGGAGGCTGGTGTGGTGTTGCGCCAGCAGCCTGTGCAGCTGGCACTCAAGTCGGACAATGAGGCTGGAGAAGATGTGGTGCTAGAGGCAGGGATTCAGCCAGGGCCTTCAGAACCTCCAGAAGCTCCTTTAAGTGAAGAGGATGAAGAGGAGGAGCCTCTTCTTGATGCACGGGCATGCAGAGCGGCCAAAAGGCAGGAGTGGCTCCTCAGGAGGAGGTCTCCTCGAGAGTAAGTCTTGGGGCTAATTGGCCACTCCCTTAGCCTATTTAAGGAGGAACGCCGACTGAAGCAATTTGTAGGGAACAACTTTAGTTCACTCTACTTCACGTCTGGATTCTCTGCAAATTGCTTCTGGGCTTTCTGCCAACCGTAGTAAGATTGTGATTACTTTATCTTTGGTTTCTTGTAGGCTGTTAAGAAAGTTTATTAACAGCCTTTGTTTTGAAAAAGACTGAGTTATTTTAGTAAATTAAGTTTTGTACAAACTTTGTGTGTGCTGTATTCTTTGGGGTCCATAGTTGGGGCAAAACAGGTAGTCCTCGACTTAGGACCACAATGGAAGCCAAAATTTCTGTAGTTTAGTAAAACATTTGTTAAGTGAGTTTTGCTCCTTTTTACAACCTTTCTTGCCACCGTTGTTAAGTGAATCACAGCAGTTATTAACTTAGTAACACGGTTGTTAAGTGAATCTGGCTTTCCCATGGACTTCGCTTGTCAGAAGGTTATAAAAGGTGACCACATAACCCGGGACATGGCAATCGTCATAGATGTGAGTCAGTTGCTGAGCATCTGAATTTTGATCACATGACCATGGGGATGCTGCAATGGTTGTGAAAAACAGTCACAGAAGTGTGAAAAACAGTCATAAGGTTTTTTTTCCCAGTGTCGTCGTAACTTCGGTCACTAAACAAACAGTTGTAAGTTGAGGACTACTTGTACTGTAAGAATTTGCATTCTGAAACAGCTGCCAAAATCTTTGAAACGAATATGAAGAATATAAATATAAAGAATATAATACGAAGAATATAAAATTTCTTTCCTAGCAAACCTAGAATTAGGCGAAGGGCTGGCAGTGCTCCCTGAGGTTGGTCTTCTTCTTGCAGATGTTTCTGCCAGAAACCCAACAATTCATCCCTAAGCTACATATATTCCACACTAATGAAGAATTGGGAAATGTTCCCCCTCCAACTGCATTTCTCTTGCTCTTGTTTCTATAGACGACATTGTTGGATTCTCAGGGGACTTTGGGAGTGGTGTCGGATGGGAAGATGAGGAAGAGAAGGAGACAGAAGAAGCCGGCGAGGAAGCTGAAGAAGAAGAAGAGGGAGAAGCAGATGATGGAGGCTATATTTGGTAGATGTCACCAAGGGGCACTGTTTGGCCAGGATGCAGGCTGTAGGGCTGGGAGGTAGCAGTCAACACTGAATGGAGAGGAACAACTGAACAAGATGATCAGGAAACACAGTTGAATGTAACTAACTATGGCAGAATGTGGGAGTGTGTGTATGTGTGAATGTATGTACACTTGCCTGGATGGGTCCATTCTCTTTACGTGGCTGTGGGGATCATCTCTTTCTTCCCAGCTTACCAGAGATCAAAGCTATAGCCGAGCAGAAGGGGAGGGGGGGAAGTACTCTGCACTGTAGGCTCCAGAGAAACTTTTGTTAATATTAAATTTTTAAAAATATTAATGACCAGTGACACATTTCAGTTCCTAACCAGGCTCAAAAGATGTGAGAAGCACCTTCATCGCTCTGGCAATATCCTGCTGTATATGTCCTGTCCTATTGCTTGCCAAGCAATCTGCCAATCATTTGTGAGTCTTCATTGCAGTAGATCACCAGGATTTGCCTAACAGGTCAGAAATCAGGAACAATCCACTCTCCTGCGGCTAGACATTTAGATCTAGGACCGTATTGAAGAGGGGCAGCTAATGTATTGCTATTGACAAATACAGTTCCACAGCAGTCATTTCTTAGATAGGTTTCCAAAATCTTGGAAAAGTTCCCCTGGAAGATTGAACATCCATGCACTGAGTTAATGTATGATCACCTTTACTGGACTTAATAGCTTCCTGGTTAGGAGAGCTTTTAAATGTGTCTGTCTTTGCTTCTAATGTAGTTGGTGTGCTAGCTAGCGCTGTAGAATAAAGGGCTTTTCAGTCATCTCAACATCCTGGTGGAAAGGCAAGGAGTTCTGGGACAGAGATTGCTGAGAACATCAGTTAAAAGAATAAAGCAATTAGTTGTGGAAAAGAAATCAGCAGACTAGATACAGCAACGGCAAGAAATGGTTTCCCATGATAGAAGGTATGGTAAAGATAGGTATCTCAGTAACTTTGTTAATTGTGTTGCTTTGTGCCTTGGGTGTAGGAAATCTGCATCTAACTGGAACTCACTGTTCTCCTCCTACGCTCTGCAGCACAAGTCTTTACCTTCACAACATAGGAGAAGAAAGCTATTAGGCATCACCTACAGGAATACAAATACAAAATTGCATTATCCATTTAAAAATAAATGAGCATGTGATTTAGCTAATGATGAAAATGATAATGATAATTCTATTCAGCATCCTGAAATCATTTTCTTTCTCTCTCTCTCTCTTTTTTTTTTTCAAATAAATTAGGCATTGTTTTTTCAAAAATTAGCCAGTGGGAAACATCTAGGGGAAAAAATATTGTCATTTTCTTAGTTAGTGGAATGTCAGGCTTTTTAATCCCGACAAGGCCAATTCAATTCTTTATTTAGGAAAATCATTTCTCCACTTCCCCTTGCTTGGATACACTCACTCTGTTGGTGAGCATGTATGCTTGCAAGTATTTAAACACCTGTATTACCATCCTGTCCAAGTTGTAGCTGTGCATGTCCTTGGGCGGCATGAAGAAATGTTGAGTGCTGGAGTGTGTGAGTATGTGTGAAGTACACACTGAGAAGTGGGCAGGCAGTTTGGCTTATATCAAGTACCCCAACGTTTATGTAGATACTGAGCTTCTGGCTGAGCCCTTCGGGACAGTGTGCAAGCACATTAAACAAATCATGGGATTTTAAGCAGCCTCACTTCCCAGTACGTACAGCCACCTCCATAACAGATTTCTTATGTAGTCCAGCTGTGATAATAAATGAGCCTTGCTGTATTGAATTCTCTTATCTTCCTCAAATTTACTCCTCCTCCTCCTCTTCCAACTCTCACACTCCCACCCACACCCTTGCACACTTCCTGGTCCTGTCTTCATGTGTTTCTTGATCTTTTCTCATGAAAGAAGAATAGATCACGGCTCAACAAGACTTGATTTGATCTTTATCAGGAGAAGTTACTTCAGTGATTGATCTCTGGGGAGGAGGGGGGGGGGTTCATTGTTGTAGTTTTCGTGTCCTCCAACGTCCCCCCCCTCCCAAGATCTTCTTCGCCTGTATTCAAGAGTTACATTGAAGTTGTCTTCCTTGGTTTTTAGTCATCGCCTTTCCTTCCACCTCTGCAGGTGATATGAGTGTGGCAGGATCCAGGTTTGCACTTCACAGCTATGCATGTTTAAGGAGTTGTAAATACATTTTTTTCCACACTAAAATATACTCCGTTGTTGAGGGTGGCCTGCTTGGTAGAGCTAGGTAAGACAAAAGCAGCATCTTGTCTCTGTTAACTAATTAACTGTTAACACAGTTAACACTAGTTAACTGTGTTAACTAGTCTTGCCATTTAGACTTGCTTGTCAGCTTTTGAAGATTCTGTGGCTACCTACAGACAATTCTTTGTTGGTTTCCCTTCAGATAATTGAAGGTGATACAACAAGCAAGAACTCAACTCTGCTGGTAACTGTTCCCTCCAACCTTTAAGCCTTTCCTCACAGCCTTTTGTAGGTTTTCATTATCAAAAACATAATTATTCATTTACCTGGAAGAGCATAAATAACAAAGGAAGAAAAGTGTGTGTGTGGAGGGGGGAAACAGCTTTGTGAAAAATAGACAGTAGATGCTCGCTTTCATCTCTTTGAGAAGAAACCCCAGTGAGATTACTCTGAAATTGCTTTCAAGTCTCTTAACAAAAAAAAAAAGGTTGCTTAGCTCTGGTCTTAATTTTACCTTAAAAGAAGCCCATTATTTATCTTGCGTTTTCAGCCAACTCATTGTTGTGTTGCTGAAGCAAAAACAATAATATCCCTAAAGACCTCCATAAAAGAGCTCAAAGGAGCCACGTTGGTTCACCTTGACAAGAGATATGAATTGCAGAACCATCCAGAGTTGGGATCTGATTTCCTAACACAAGTCAGAGATATCTAGAAGGGGGTAGTAACATTCGGACAGTTGAAAGCATTTTTAAATTAGTAACCTTTTTTTCCTCATAAGTCTTAGTCTTTAATCAAGACCCACACAGACTCTTTTATTAAGGCTTCACCTCTGGGACGTTTTCCAGAGGGTTCAAAGAAGACAGATGGGGGTCCAAAACCTTGTGGCCAAATCCCCACCTTTTTTCTACATCCATTGAGTGTACAAAAGACAGGCTTCGATCACACGGTTCCTAACTCCGTCTTGATGTTTTTTTGACACATGCATACACGCATTTCCAAGCAACCTGTTTCCTCTGGGTAGGCATGGATTAAAAAAAAAGAGAGACGAATTGATCCCATCCCCCAAATCAGCCAGCCTCGGCTTTTCTCCATATAGGGGCTCTATGGTAAAGTTTGGATGTTGTTCTCCAAATGAGGCCTCCAATTTTGAAGGCAGACTTTTGAGTCATACTGTGTTTTCCCGAAAATAAGACCCTGTCTTATATATTTTTTGAACCCTGAAATAAGCGCTTGGCCTTATTGCTGTGCAGTCAAAAGCCCGATTGGGCTTATTATCAGGGGATGTCTTATTTTAGGGGAAACAGGGTAGAATTTCTGTTTCTACAAACAAACCGTCATACAAAGAGCCTTTATGAAGGGAAATGTGGCTAATTAAAGTTCATTAATTTGCCTCACTTTCTGAAAAAATAGAATATTTGTTCTAACTTGTAAATAAGGAGGGAATATTTAGTTCGTTCACTCTTAACCCCTTTTCTACAACTCTGTGGTCCATGATGCTCTCATTCATCACTACTATTGTTTTCCATAAGGATAAGCTGCTGTATCTAGACAGCTTGGCAATTCAAAACCATATATCAGCTCATTTTCAAAAATAAAGTTTTCCTTTGCTGAGGCAAGCAAAATAGGCTAGGATATCATCATTTCTCTCTCCTCTGAGCATCACATCTAACTCTAGGGTATAGCATATAACCGTATTTTTCGGAGTATAAGATGCACCTTTTTCCCCAAAAAAAGAGGGTGAAAATCTGGATGCATCTTATACTCTGAGTGTAGCCCCACCCAGTTTCTCAAATGGAGGTTTCAGAGGCTGAAAAAAGCCTCAGAAATGAAGCTTCCGAAAAAAAGCCTCCGAAACAGAGCTTCAGAAAGAAGCTCTGTTTCGGAGGCTTTCAGAGGCAGAAAAAAAGTTTTTTCTGAAACAGCATTTCAGAAGTTTCAGAGGCTGGAAAAAAAGCAAGGCACAGAGCTCATAACCAATGAACCTGTTGCTAAAATTCACCTCTGGTTACAGCTGATTGAGGGTATTCCAGGAGGCCGATCCACCCACCAATCAGCTTTTTTCTTATTTTTCTCCCCAAAAATTAAGGTGCATCTTATACTCCAATGTGTCTTATATTCTGAAAAATACGTAGGTAGCAATTCCACTGTATTTAACATCTTTGTGCTGATGGAACTAGAAAGAAGAGATTGGTCAAGGAAAGCATCTTATCGTATGGTTAGTTTCAACCAGATATGGAGATATTGGGCTTTTGGAAAACCAATTTATACATTTCTATTCCTTTTTTGAAACCAGAATAATCAACAGTTCCTTCTAAGTGCTAGGCAATGGGATTATCAGAGTTCATATGCATCTAAATGACTATAATACAAATAAAGAATAGCAAGACTAATCTACTGACCCAAATTGTAAACTTAGTGCATTTGATTGCATGGCCTGCTGAATTAATGCTTTTTGAGCTTTCCCCTTAGGATGTTTACAATTTTAAGACGAATACCTGTAGGCATGAATGTAGTATGTGTCTATAACATGTTCTCAAACCATGTTTATCATAGAGGTAGTTTTATGAGGGAACTATGATTGCTTGCAGCTTCCCATTGATCACATATTCAATAGCAAAGCTAATCTACTCTTTGCAACATGAGTGAAAAGTCACTATAGTTTTGATCTTAATGTTCTATTTTCTACATTCCGAACTATAAGAATTAAACTTCTCTGGTTATTTTCCCCAACTTTTCTTTTTCCTTTGAATTATGACACATATCAAGAAACAGCTCAGCTAGCACTTAACTGGGTGAAAAGTTGATTCCGCTGGAGCATTAGGTCAGAATACATTAAATTAGCTTCCATTAAATTACTGAATAGAGATTGCTTTCTTCTTCCTTCCATGTGTGCAAGGACTATATATTTCCCTTCGATTTGCATCTCTTGTAGATAATTTGAGGAAGGGAATGATGTACCTGAACAATTTCACAGTCAAGGGGGGGAAAAAGACATTGCAAGCATGAAATGCAGAAATGAAATTACAGCTGCTCTCTCCACTGTGGGATATTAGGAGATAATCATCCTGTCTATGTTTTCTTCCAGGAATGGTTGAAGTTGAGTTTGATTGCAATTTCCTTGGCAAAAAATATGATAGTGGTTTCGAGGCCAGTTCAGAATTATTTTATGTGTCTCAGTCCAGCATTGATTTGGTTCAGCAGCTATGGGATTAGGTTATGGCTGCATGCTGCAATCAACATTAAAAATACTACTATTGGTAGTAACCAATTCAGAGCAGTTACATACCACCCTTTTCCTTCCCAAATCCCACTAAGGTTGTTTTAAAGACAGTCCACCATCATCTTCACTTGTGTAGACTCGATACCCTGGCAATAAATGAAAATCACTACCCTCTCAAGCTCTTGGTTGTACAGCAACAACAGCCATAAAAAAATGCTATTTTCTTCATGCCAGAGGAAAAAGAGAAGTCTCATTACTTTCATCTTTATTTGCTTGGCTTGAGCTGTTATGGGTAGGCAGTGAAGTTCTCCAGCCACCAATCCCCTGATGGAGTCAAGACTGAACTCGTGTTAACGTGACTCTGGATAAACAGTACAAAGTACTTGATTGGAGTGTCTGAAGGTGGGAGGAGGGATGAAGCAAAAATTCCCTCCAATGAGAAAATCAGTTGTTTCCCCCTTGCTCTGCGGAGCTCCAATAGTCTAACTGGAAATCAGGGCAATTCAAAAAAGCTCAGCAGCTGAAGAGAGACAACAGTATGGACTGTGTGGTCCCAGGTCCAATCCAGTAGTGGCTTGACCAACCAGTTTTCAAGTTCCCAAAGGAGACTTTTGACATGTGGTTTTGTCCAAATTTCAGTCGCATTGATTGTGAGGTCCATAAATCAGCTTCTCTGAATGGATTTAGGGTGTTATTGTGGTGCTTTATTAAATCTGTGCCCTAGAGCAGGGGTCTCCAACCTTGACAACTTTACGACTCGTGGACTTCAACTCCCAGACTTCCTCAGCCAGCATGCGCTGGCTAAGGAATTCTGGGAGTTGAAGTCCACAAGTCATAAAGTTGCCAAGGTTGGAGACCCCTACCCTAGAGAAACACATACCCATCTCTTTGCTGCCATGTTGAAAGTTAAGATGTCTACCTATTTTATTGTGGGACTCCCAGTTTGCTCATTTAAAAAACAAACAAGGTTCTTGCCAAACTGGCACCCTCCATATGTGACTCCCATAATGCAAATCAATATAGCCAAGGGGTTTTTGCTGACAGGAGATTATGGGCAAAGGGAGTCTAACATCTGGAGCTTAAAGCTGAGGATGGGCTGTTCTAAACATAAATCTCTTTATGCCATTAATCCTTTCTCCTTTATATTCAGTATTAACGGACAGAGAGTGTGGTTTTTTTTTTAAAAAAAAAACCACCTATAGATAACTATTCTAGTGTTATGAGTGTTGCTTTTCTTTTTTCTTTTTTTTTTAAAAAAAGAACATTATATGTGTAATAACTCAGAACTGAGGAGAAACAAATCTGCCTGTAGCCTGGGAAACCTATTTTACAAGTCTGATGTGCAATAATAACTTC